ATTGTATCTATTACATATATAATTATATATTATATACAATTATTTATAATATTTAATAACATTTATAGTAATCAATTATTGATTAATTGATTGATCATGGCTGGAATACCTTCCCTCCTCATCCCTGCCTCTTGGAAGCCTTGGTTTCTTTCAGGTCTCAATTCAATTGCCACCTTACCCATGAAGCCTTTCCTGACTCCCACAGCTGCTAGTGCCTTTCCCCAAAAGTCACCTTGAATATATTTTCTATCTGCCTTTATATGTATAGTTTCTCTTCTCTAGCTAGACTATACTTTCCTTGAGAGTGGAGACTGTTTTATTTTTGTCTTTGTATTGCAGGTTCCCAGCGCATAATAGGTACTTTAAAATGTTAGATTTATTGAATAAATTTTGTCTCTTCCTGGAGTTATAGTTAGTGTAGTAAAAATTTCCAAACAGTTAGATCTGTTCCAAAATGGAATAGGCTAAGTTTCAAGGCAATTGGTTTCCCTCATGAGAGGTCTTGGGGAAAAGGCTCAATAAGCCTTGTAATGTCTTGTCCTAGAGAGGATTCTTGTTCAGGTATGGGTTGGACTGTATTTCTTCATGTCCTTTCCAATTCCAAGATTCTATGACTTTGAGTTTGTGCCCCTGAAGTAGGACAAATGACATCTACATTCAGCTGTCTTGATTATTAAAAAAAAAATACAGTGAAACAATTCCTCATGCTTCTGAACTATGAATTGTAACCATATCCCCTTTGGGGGACTGATATATGAATAAACCCAGCATCTTAGAGCATTTCTGGTTTCTTTCTTGGCTCTTGGGGCCAGGCCCTAATTAAATCAACATTTCTTCTCCCTTAAGCGGAATGGTATTTCACCGCCAATTTTCCTTGCCTGATAATATGTTAGTCAGTGGTGCTTGTAAACACTCTGGAGAGATGACACTGGAAGGGAAGAAGAATGTCGCTCCAAAACAGACTGACAGAGTCTTTACTTCCAGTCTTATTGTGGGGTAAAGCCTTGCATCCTTCCAGAATATAAAAAGAAAAATCTGGTTGGTTGGTGAAGGACCATCATGGGCTGGCTCTCAAGGGTAAAATAGGCAACTACCTTTTATAGAACAGCATTCATTTCTTTCCCTCTGTTGTCCCACGCTTCACAGGTATGCAGCAGCAAATCTTACTGATTTATTATCCGTTTTGTTTCCTCAAGTTAAATTTATTCAGCCTCTAGACTTATCACCATAAATCTGGTTCTCTCTGATAGCGATGTCTCAAAGGCAGCCAGTCACTCATAATTTCCTCTTTCTCTTCCTGGCTCTCCTTCTCCTTCCATTTATTAAATACACAGGGATGACTATAAGCAAACTTAGAAGATTGCTTGGTTAGAGGGCTACTGCTTTTCATTTCTACCAGCATCAAGGACTTAATCTCATTGCCTTCTTTGCCTGCCTAAAATAAATGCTTTTTTTTTTGGCCATGTTCATCAGATTCAAGAAAAGTTTGTGCTTGAGTAATTGAGCTCTCTCCCTAACATTCTTTTTCTCCCTCTTTTCCCCTTTTAACTTCTCCATAAAGGGTATTTGCCAAAAATGTGAACTAAGAAGGAAATAATCAAATATTGTCATACACAACAGCTTTCTTTTTTATTGACTTTGGATGGGAGAAGGGGGCATAATACAAGTTGGAACAAGGGAAAAAGGGGGGCAACATGAATTATTCTTCTTAACTGTATAATCTTAATATTGTCAACTCATTCCAAATTTTGGCCCATAGCACCACACCTGCACAATTTGTAAATGTTGAAAAAAGGACATGATGAAGATCTATCCTAGTAAAGGGTCTGAAGGAATTTAGGATAAAGAGAAGGGAACATGTTGTCTGCTTTGCCTCCTCCTTTTTGCTGTTATTTAAAATCCACATATTCTGTGTCCCACTAAATATCATCATTTTTACATTAGTTCCCTTGGTGCAATGAGCTCAGGACTGAAAATGAAACAGTGATTACAAAAATAACTCTAGCATGGGTATATATACTAAAAAATAAGGATATCTGAGAGAAAAACTCAGAGGCCACACAAATATACATATCTCTATCCCTCCTTATGCTCATACATGAATATAACAGATTTTCTTTGCCAACATATATCAGCATTGCAGTAAACCACCTTCTGCAGAGTTGAGAGACCTTATTTGAAGACTTTCCCTACCAAATTCCAGATTTCCTTGGTGATTCAAATGTACGCCAAAGACTTTTAAGTAGCTAAACACCTAGATCCAAACCATTACTTATTCCAACCTTGGAGATCAGCTAAAAAATTGGAGTCTGCAAAAATGTTCATCAGTCCATGAAATATGTCTAACTCACATTTATATATGTTGCCCTATCCCTTTTTTCACTACTGAAACCACATGCATGATTTGTCAGGAAGTACCCAAAAATTCCTCAGAAGTCCTAATAGAATGGAAAAAGAAAGGAGATAAAGAGTATAATCAATTTATTTTAGGCCTGATTTTCTTTATCCTTGACCATATGTTGACTTTTGTCATGATCCTAATTCTCTCAGATCTAATTAAGTTTTGACTCACAACACCGCATCTGAACTCAACATTGAGTCATGTGTTGTCATTTTCTTAGAAGAACACTGGTAACTGTGGCAAGGAATGCCCCAAAAAGAAGCGATTTAATAGTTTCTGTGTCATAGAGAGAGAAGTGTGGGAGGCTGGTACTTAAATTGTGATCTGGAAGAACTGAGCGAAGAAATCTAATTTTTTCTGATAGAAAACCAAACGGGAATCAGAGTAGAAAAGGACATGTGGGTATTTAATAAGAGATATTTATTGTGTGACTTCAGTAGTGGCATGTAGGCCATTTACTTAAATAGAGCTTACTTAGTTGTAAGAACTCAATGCCAGTTAAATAAGAGTGAGAAGACACAAAGATAGCAAACTTTTTGTAAACTCGTAAGATTTGGCTTAAAAATCTGGCTACCCTTGGACATCAGACATCCCCCTAGCCAGCAATCAGAAGAGCAGGATTATAGGAATCTTTCTCAGCAACTAAAGAAATATAAAGAGATAGCTGCAAATAGGCAGACAAGAAGGAAAAAAAGATAATTAAATCTAATTGGATAATTCATTTTCTGCTGCTTTTGTTTGTATTAGGAAAGGAGGATGAGCTAATTCTCAATTAAAGGCAGCTGAGCTTTTTCTCCCGTCTTGAGAAAAGATGAATTCTATCGTACATTAAACCTCATTCATAACTTAGCAAGAAGGTATGGTGTTGAGTCACTTTATATTTGATTTTAGAGGAAATAGGGGAGCTTGTTCCGTCATTTTCAGTCATGTCCAGCTCTCTGTGACCCCATTTGGGGTTATCTAGCAAGGATACTAGAGTGTTTGCCATTTCCTTCTCCAGCTAATTTTATAGCTGCAGAAACTCAGGCAGCCAGGGTTAAGTGACTTGCCCAGGGTCACACAGCTAGTCAGTGTCTGAAGCCAGATTTGAATTTACAAAGATGAGTCTTCGTGACTCCAGGGCTGGTGCTGTCTATCCACTGTGCCACCTAGCTCCCCCAATAGAGGAACTACTAGAGTTCATGGAATAGGGGAATGAAGTGGTCAGACCTGTATTTTAAGAAAATCATTTGGGGTGGCGAGGTAGCACAGTGGATAGAGCACCAGCCCTGGAGTCAGGAGGACCTGAGTTCAAATCTGGCCTCAAACACTTGACACTTCCTAGCTGTGTGACCCTGGGCAAGTCAATTAATCTAATCGCCTCACCAAAAAAGAAAAAAAAAATCATTTTGACAGCCGTGTGAAGGATGGATTGGAGTGGGGAGAAATCTAAGGCAGGGAGGCTATTGTCATTGTTCAGATGAGAGAGATGATGTGGCTCTTAAATAAAGTGGTGGCTCTGTGAATTGGAAGGATGATGGATGCTTGAGATAGACTAATGGAGATACAAATGACAAGATTTGGCAACTACATGGATTTGTCAGATGGGTAAGAGGAAGGAGTCAAGGATGACAGTGAGGCTGTAGGCCTGGGTGATGGGAGGGATAATGGTGTCCTTGAAAGCAATAGGGAATTCAGAAGAGGGTAGATTAGTGGGGAGAGATGAGTACATGTCTGGCATGCCTATGGGAATCTAGATTGAAATGTCCAGTAGACATTTGGAGATGTGGTACTGACGCACAGGAGAGACTAGGGCTAGATATGGTGATCTGGAAATCATTAGTCTAGAGATGACAAGTAGACTTGTGTAAATTGATAAGGTCACCAAGAGAAAGAGAGAATGTGGGGTCTGGGACCACATAAAAAGCCTTGGGCTCCCACGCGCACAGAGTGACATAGGTGATCGTCCTGAAACGAAGACTTGAGAAGAAGCAGTCAGACCAGCAGGAGAATCAAGGGAGAATCAGGCCAGATCACCACAAATCAGATCTGTTATACAGGAGAGTTTATTCTCGTAACGATGGTGTTAGATGGTCTCTGGGGTTCCTTCTAATTGTGAGATTCTGTGATTGTGTTCTGGAGTTCTTTGGCACTGAAAAAAATACATTCATTTGTATGGCACAGGGTTTCTTCAACTCTGCCTAGAATTCATTTACTGTGTGAGTCAAGCCCTTCCCCTTTTACCTTTAGTCCAGAGCAAGTTCTGTATAGGAGAATGTAGAATTTTATCACTCTGTGGTGTGTCCTGGCACTGTCGTATTCTTCTGGTAATTATAATCCTTCAACCTCCATTCTCAGATTGGAGGATTTCCCTATTCTGCACTAAATCTAGATCCTTTAGCATTAGATTTACTCAGCTTTCTTTCTGGATTTACCAACCTTTTCCAAAAGACAACTTTCCTATGAAGTATAATGAGTGATGACTATCCTGTGGGCTCTAAAAGTGTGTTATTCCTACCGGTGCTTCCCTCTCTCTCCCTCCCTTCCCCCAGATACACTGCTTTCCTATGCAGGCTTTGAATTTAAATCTCAGTACCTCGCTTCTTGATTTGTCTTTCAGGTTCAAGTGTGAATGGCTTAGAGGAGCCCAGCCTTGCCAAGAGACTGAAGGGTACCCCAGAACGGATTGAGCTGGAGAATTATAGACTGTCCATGAAACAGGCAGAAGAACTTGAAGAGGTTCCTGAGGAAACCCTAGCAGAACACAATCTGAGCAGCGTGTTGGACAAAGAGACCGAAGAGGACGTGGCAAGCAGGTTATTATGTAACATGTGTGCCTTCAACCCCTATGTATTCCTGTTCATTCCATTGTAGGCAATGTTATCTGTTGGGTTTCCAAATGAACTTGGCCCATCCTCTAAAGGGAAAATAAAAAGAATACACACACACACACACACACACACATACACACACACACAGACCCCATTTTCCTGTTTACAAGGGTTTTCACGTGCAGTATCTCATTTAATCCTCAAAAAAGCCTGTAAAGTGGATAAAATAAATATTATCCCTATCTTAAAGCTGAGGAAGCTGAAGTACAGAATGGTGAGATGAATTATGCCCCTATTCACATAATGAGGAAGCAGCAAAGTTGATCTTCAAACCCAGGTTTTCTCACTTCAAAACTATTGCTCATTCTCCTGCCCTGAGCTCCTTTCCACTGCCTGTCTTTGTACTGACCTAAGCATCTGAACCATTGACCTGACCAGCATTTAATTTGAGAACTCAGCAAATGTTTAATAGATTCTATGTGCCTAGCCCTGTACCTGGTCACTGGGAGGAGTACAAAAGAACCACCGGGCTTATTTTTTACAGAGTCCACTTTTTAAAATCACTGTTCCCTATGGGATAAATAGTTAAGTTCACCCTAAGACCTTATTCAGAGCTTAACCAAGTCTAAGCCAGAAGATCAGGAGTTCCTCACCTTCCATGGCTCTTTCCTTCAAATCGGTCGTCCATGGAGCTGGAAGAGACCATGGAAGACTCTTTTCCTTGGTTCCTCTTGACGTTGTACCTACACTCCTAGCACATGCACTAGTATTCTCACCTTTGTTGTCATTGGAAAAGGTGGCACAGTGGATAGGGCGCCAGGCCTGGAGTTAGGAAGACCTACGTTCAAATTCAACCTTAGATACATACTAGCTGTGTGATCCCGAGCAAGTCACTTAATCGTGGTTGCCTCGGTTTCCTCATTTGCAAAATGAGCTGGAGAAGGAAATGGCAAACCACTCCAGTATCTTTGCTAAGAAAACCCCAAACAGGGTCACAGAGAGTGAGACATGACTGAAAGAACGACTCTGAAAGAAAAATCACAAAGAGACCAAGAGGCATTTCCTAATGGATAAATGGTCAAAGAATACAACCAGACAGTTCTCAAGAGAATTGCAAATGAAAAAGCATCCATATAAAAGAATGCTCCAGATTGCTAATAATAAGAGTAATTTAGATCAAAACAACTCTGAGGGTTTTTTTTCCTCATACGCAGTAAATAGGAAAGGTGACAAAAGAAGTGAATAATCAATGTTAGAGAAAAGCTGGTTCACTGTTCAACCATGCTAGAAAGCAATTCTGGAACTATATTAAGAAAAGCAACTGTATCCTTGGACCCTGAGGTTCCCCTGTTAGTCATCAGCTCCAAAAGAAAAATCCTCAAAACATCACAATATTTGTAGCAGCACTTCTTATAGTAGGCAAAAAAATGGAAACGGTGTATGCCCATCAATTGGGGGAATATCTAAACAAATTGGAGTGTGTGAATCTAATGGAATATTACTGCCCTATAAGAATATGTAGATTAGTAAAAAGTATCAGAAAACTTTGGAATCAATGTGTAATGATTAGAAAAAGGGAAACAATATACACAGTGATTGTAACAATAGAAATTGAAAGAATGAAAAAAAAACAGTTAAAAACCAAATGTAGTGTAATTATACTGATCAAACATTGCCCCTAGAAAGAGGTGGGGGGGGGATGCACCTTCTTCCCTTCCTTTCAGGGAACAGAAGGGGTGTAGAAGGAGGGATGCACAGTGTGTGTATGGAGCATTGCGTTTGCTGTTGGGCTGAATGGATGTGTTGGTCACCTTTACTAAAGTGCTTTTTATTTTCTTCTTTGTTATAAAGGATGGCTCTCTGGGAAAGGGAGAGGGTAGGAATATATTTGGCAGTAAAGGTGATGTTAGGGCAGCTTGGTGGTGCAGTGCATAGAGTGCCAAGCCTGCAGTCAGGAAGACTCATCTTCCTAAGTTCAAATCCGGCCTCAGACACTTACTAGCTGTATGACCCTGGACAAGTCACTTAACCCTGTTTACCTCAGTTTCCTCATATGTAAAATGAGCTAGACAAGGCAATGGCAAACCACTTCAGTATCTTTGTCAAGAAAACCCCAAATAGGGTCACGAAGAGTCAGACATGACTGAAAAACAACTAATAAAATGTGATGTTAAAAACAAAAGATATCTATAAAAAAGTTGGTTGGTTTTTTTTTTTAAAGAACAGTGGTGTGAGGTTAGCTTGGAAAATGTGTTATTTTTCAAATACTATTTTTCAAAAAGTTGAAACAAAACGTCATTAATTACCCAGAACATTAGTGACTAAGCTAGAGATGGAACATAATTTCCATCACATTATTATTGCCAGAATGTACCAAATCCTTCCAACCTAGGTAAATGTTTGTTGAAGATCCTTCCTGTTCTCTTAATTCTACCCAATGTAATTCATTCCTAAGCGAGATACTAGAGTATCTTGACTGGTTGAGGGGTTGCAGGTAGGGTGTTTTTTAAAGAAAAAGGTCAGTCAGTAGTTATTTACAAAATGGACCTCACTGTGTCTGTCCCAAAAGCAAGGAGCTGATAGGACGTCCCTTATATCCCTGTGATTCTATAGCATTTCTATTGAGGTTTGTTTTTACCAGACCTGGAGGAAATGTCTTCTGCCAGTGCAGATCAGCATCTGGAGTATTAGAGAAGTGTCCGGGTAATAGGAAGGGTAAGTGACTTGTTGTCTGAGGATCACGGAGCCTTTGTATGTTAAAAGCAGAACTTGAATCCAGATCTGCCCAAATCCCGACAATGGTTCATCACGACACCTCTCTTCAATTGACTGTTGATTTTCATAGTAGTTTCCTGATGACAGACTGCTGATCCTGGCAGCCTCTCCTAAAATGTGGTTCTAGCTCTGTGTGAGTACTAAGGGGTGATTTGTCCTAGACTGTTTGGGGTATTTCTTTAATCCCCCATAATCCCTCCCCCCCCCGATTTTCCCTGTTGGGCGTTTTGTGGATTCCTGCTTTACTGTGTGTCTGCCAGGACACAGGATTCCAGGCCACATTATGAGAGGAAGAACTGACAAACCGCAGCTTCCTTTCTTCTTCCACACCCTTCCTCTTGGCTCTTCAAAGATCAGGCACCCAAAGTCCAACACAGATAAGGGCCAGAATGTAAAGTGAAACCTAAGATAAAGAATTTACGTTGTGCCTATTACGTGACACAGGAGGCCTGTGAAGGGGACGCAGCCTGTTCCATGGACTGGACTTGCATGGAAATAATAGCACAGCAGTCGGTGTTATTGATGGGGTAGGGGGGAAAGAAAACAGCTGTCAATACCTGGCAGTTTTCTTTCTGTTCCCCGGAGAGAAGAGGGAAAAATTCAGTCTTTATAAAACACTCAGACTATAACAGGGCTTCTCAGAAGCAAGCTTTTAGACCTGAATTTTTACTTATACAGAAAAGGGAAGGGACAGTATAGAAAAAGTGTAACTTTTTAAAAGTTGTTGTTAGAGAATTTGGTTCGCTTATTTGGTTTCTAGACTTGCATAAACTAAAACTAAAATACATAAATATAAATCAAACTAAACTGGGGAAACATTAAGCATCATTAGTCCTACATTTTAACATTTTCATTGTGGTCATTCTTATAGATTCATTTCCCTCTTCTACAATTAACATTGATCTACAATAGAGAATTACTAAAGGCCCCCCACTTTCTCTCTCTTTTTTTTTCTTTAATTTTTAAGTAGTTGGGGCTAAGTGACTTGCCCAGGGTCACACAGCTAGTAAGTGTCCATTTGGTCTGAGCCCGGATTTGAATCCTGACTCGAGGGCCAGTGCTGTGTCCACTGCACCTCCTAGCTGCCCCTCCCACTTTCCCCCATCTCTGGATGTTATAACCATCTCTTCATCTTTTTACCCCTATTTCTGCCGCAGATTGGTAATATGAAACCAAGCAAATCTCTATTCTGTTGTACTCCATCTGTGAACAGGAATGCTTTTCTTCTACACATGTAGGATCTCGTGAGGAAGAAAGAGTTGATTTGTCAAAGGCATTGAACTCCTTTGAAAAAATAAAAAGCATTAATGTTAATGATTATTAATATTATGTACTGTGGTATAGTAGATAAAATACAGGCTTAGAGTATGAGACATGGCTTCTGACCCAGTCTCAAATTCTTTTTAAATTTTATTTTCATTAATATCTTGACTTTATGTCACCTTCATTTCCAAATCAATTGCTTCCCATCCTCTACCCTCCAAGCTATCTGTAGGGAGATGGGAGGAGAAGAGAAAGCAGTTAAAAAAACAACCATCATAACTACCGTCAATCATCGTATATGTAACATAACACACCCATAGTCCTCCACCTCTGCAAAAAAGGAGAGGGAGATAGATGCATGTATTTTCTCAATTCTTCTCTGAGTCTAAGCTTGGGCATTCTAATTATACCACCTTCACTTTCAGTTTCATCTACTCTGTATATATCTTGTGTGTACACAATTGTTTGTGTGTGGTCTTCCTCTTTTGAACATGGATTCTTTGAGGACAGGAAAGTTTTCACCTTTCTCTGTATCCCCAGCACTAAGCATGGTGCCTGGCACACAATGACATATTAAACTTTTCATTGAATGCTAAGTGGTGCCATAGTGCATAGAGTGCTGGGCCTGGAGTCAGGAAGACGTGGGTTCAAATCCAGCCTCAGACACTTATTAACTAGCTGTGTGACCCTGGAAAAGTCACTTAACCTTGTTGGCTCCCTTTTCGTGATCTGCAAAATGAGCTGGAGAAGGAAATGACGGTTATCTTTGCCAAGAAAACCCCAAGTGGGGTCATGATGAGTCAGACATAACTGAAAAAAAAACTGAACAACAATAAATGGTTATTGACTGACTCCACCTGGTACCTTCATATAAGTAAAGCTGATGTTAACACCCTTGGCATGCCTAGCACTGAAATATTGTACTAAGCCACGCACCTTCAGTACGTTATTGCCCAGCATCCCTAACTTAACTTTGAAAGACACGTGTCTTCCAGCCTGAGTAGGCACACATTTCTTATTTGGGGTCATGTATGTAGTCATTTCAAAGCCTCCCTAAAGAATTCTATTTCAGAGTTAATAGACCATGAAGCAGAGTGGGGGGGAGGGGTAATTCCCTACCATTTGGGCTGAGGGGGTGGAAGGAATTTGTTTTTCTCAGGGCAGGAACATTCCACAAGTTTGAAGGTAGCTTGGATTTCATTCCAATTCTACCTTCAACACTGCTACTCCCATAAAAGAAAAAACAAACTTTTTTTGAAATACGGCTGAACAGTTAATCAGGGTATTTATTACGTACCTGCTGTGTGCAGGCACTGGGGATACAAAAGCAGAGATTAAACCCTTCTACCCACAAGTAGCTTACATTCAGAGGAGTCAGCATGCACATTCTTTTAGAGAATAGGGATGCATGCTTCTGTCCTGAATGTATCATGTAAAACTAGCTCTACTCTAATAAGTACTGCTTGTAGTTATTTTTCCAAGCTCTGAACAGCAACATGGACTAAGAACAGAAGTTGTCTATAGGGCTATAACACCAGGTGTTGGAATGTTAGTTTCCATTTATTTCCCATAGGCCACGCGCTCTGTACTTTTCCAGTAAGATTAGCCAAGTTTATTTTTATTATGGTGCCTTTTCTGGCTCTGTTGCCTTGCTTCTCTTTGTGAATTTTCTCCCATCCTTTCCTCTCTTCCTCCTTTCTTTTACCAGCTCATCCCACTGTGAAGGTCTCAGTTTGGCTCTGACAATCTTTCCTTTATTTTTTCCACCATACAGTATATTCCGCATTTGTGATCATCACTGGTCATTGTGCACACACAGGATGGAGCAAAAGATTGTGTCTGAATAACAGAAGAGAGGGGACTCTCTGAGATGGAGGTAGAAGAGTGTAGTCCAGGTGTGCAGACATGGAGATAGGTGATGGAGTATTGTGAGTGAGGAACAGAAAGAAAGGCATCTTGGCTGGATCTCAGAATGTGATCACAGAGAGACAGATTGATAAGTCTAATGAGCCTGGAAATATAGGTTAGGGCCAACTTGTGTAGGGCTTTAAATAGAACCACTGAAGTTGGTTGAGAAAGTTATTGATATGGTCAGATCTGCACTTAAGGAAAATTATTTTGATAGCAGTTTGTAGAATAGACTGGAATAGTGAGAGCTGAATCAGAGAGACCAGTTAGGAGGATGTTGTAATAATCTAGTCAAAAGGTGATGAAGTCCTGAACTATGGTGTGTAATAGAAGGAAGGAAGCAAGCAAGCATTTGGGGGGAGGGGTGCAGTTGGGGTTCAGTGACTTGCCCAGGGTCACACAGCCAGTAAGTATCAAGTGTTTGATCTGAGGCTGGATTTGAACTCAGGTCCTCCTGACTTCAGGGCCAGTACTCTATCCACTGCGCCACCTAGCTGCCCCCAGCAAGCATTTCTTAAGCACCTACTATGTGTCAGGCATTGTGCTCGGTGCCTTACAAATATTATCTCATTTAATCCTCACCGCAACCTTGGGAGATAGGTTGCTACTAGTATCCCCATTTTATAGTTAAGGAAACTGAGACATGCAGAAGTTAAGTAACTTTCCCAGAGTCTCACCGCTAGTAAGTGTCTGAGGTTGGATTTGAATTCAGGTCTTCCTGACTCCAGGCCCAGCTCTCTATCCATACTTCTGAAAGAAGAAAAGGAGTTAGATGTGAAAGATATTGTGATTGCCCACGTGGGGTGAGAGAGGGTAAGGCACTGAAGAAAACACCGAGATTAGGACCCTAAGATACTAGATCGACTGAAACTAAGAACCCACAAAGTGTCATGAGAAGGGAAGATCCACATTTCCGATACTCCCAAGATGATGAGTTTACATCCAAAAATAGTTCGTGGAAAATAACAATTTGCCTGTTTCTGCTTGTTTATAAACTTCATCCCAATAAATCCTAATTGTGTTGTATGATTTACTGCTAGTCCTTTTACTAATCCAATTTGCATGAGTGTGAAGATGTATAGCTGCCACATACACGTACCTCAAACCTTTGCCATGATGTGTCTGTTTCTTTACACTCATTCTCTTCACAAAGCTTCCTATCTGTGTTAATGTCCAGTAGGGAAGGGAGCTGACCACCTTCACAGCTTCCTTCTGAAAAGAGGAGCATACCTGGTTCTTCTCTTTCCCTTCAAGGGTTCTCTGTAAAGGCTTTGCCACCTTGCTACTGCCCCGTCTCTTTGAAAAAAAGGAAATCATTCTGACATGTTTTCCCCACCCCCACTTATTTTTGGTGAGGCCATTGGGATTAAGTGATTTGCCCAGGGTCACACAGCTAGTAAGTTGTCAAGTATCTGAGGCTGGATTTGAACTCAGGTTCTACTGACTCCAAGGCCAGAGCTCTATCCACTGTGCCACCTAGCTGCCCTTCCACCCCCTGGATATAAACTCTTCCCCTGGAGAGCTATTTGCTGTTTCTTCACTTTGGTTGTTTCTTCTCTCTTGGCTTCTCTGTAGCAGTTCAGAGTCTGAGATGGAGGAGGAAGATGAAGAGGAAGAAGAGGAGGAATCCCATCTTCCCCCTTCAGACCTGGGAGGTGTACCTTGGAAGGAAGCTGTGCGCATCCATGCTCTTCTAAAAGGGAAGAGTGAGGGGGAGCTGGAAGCCTCGAAAGACCATGAACCTGGGAGCGAAGAAGAGGAGGAAGAAGAAGAGGACGAGGAGGAGGAGGACGATGACGAAGAAGAAGAATCTAGTGAAGGTTAGTAAAACTGTGTCTAATCATAACCCTAAGTAATTTTCTTTGTTCTTCTTTTCCCTTTTGGTTAAAGAAATCTACTTTAAAAGCAGCAGATAATCCAACCTTGTCTGGGGTAACCTGGTTCATTTCCTAGAGGTTGTTGTGATCTAAAAGCATAGGATCAGATCTTTTCAGCTCAAAGTCACCATTGTTGATTGGACTGACACAAGATTGATTTTTAAAAGGGATATTTCTTTTTATACTTTTACTCAGTATCAAAGTATTCAAACTTGTTCATTACCCATACTTTACACATTTTCCAAGGCCATGGGTTATGTTTCTGCATACTTTCTTGGACTTTGTCTCCTTTGAATTTCTGGGTGTTTGTACTGCTAGTCTTCCTCCTATATTGTCACTCCTGTGGTATCTGATTTGGTTGACATATGTACATAGACAATTTCTGCCCTTCTCTATCTCTGGCCAGGAACATGTCACCCTTATGCTGTAAGCTGTGGTCCAGAAATACAAATCCTTCTCTCTAGTAACATCTGTGTAAGTAGCAGTTCGCTTTCCAAGCCTGCTTTTCTCTTCTGGAGCCCTTGCCTCTGATTAGCAAGAGTGATGAAAATGCCACCTGTGCCCTTAAAGTCTTCAGTTTATTACCCAGGACTTTGTAATTTTCAGCAGTGCTTTTTAGATTCCTTCTTGCAATATTATTTGGGACCACATAAATTTTGAAGTTAGTTTTCTGTTTTGACAAACCCTGAGAAGGTCCCTAGGAGATAGCAGACCTTTCTATGGTGATTATCCCATCAAAAGTTACCCTCTTCAGTCCCCATCTACCACTATTTGTCCCTCCTTTCTTTGATTCTGATTGGATGATCTCTCACCTGGTGATACCTGAAGAACCATACTACAGTTTCTTGACAAGCAAGCAGCTATGTCCTCTCAGAGGAGCCATCTTCCCTTTCTCTGCATCATCTTCTTTACCCACCAGCATCTTGACACTAGTCAGTACTTTAGATCCTTTTTCTTCTCTGTTTTGACTGTTTTGACTTTGAACTTTTTCTCCCCCTCTCCTTTTTTTTTTAAGGCAATTGGGGTTAAGTGACTTGCCCAGGGGCACACAACTAGTAAGTGTTAAGTGTCTGAGGCTGGATTTGAACTCAGGTCCTCCTGAATCCAGGGCCAGTGCTCTATCTACTGCACCACCTAGCTGCCCCACCCCTCTCCTTTTTTAAAAGAAATAATTCCTTCTCCCTGATAACTAATAGAATTGAAAAGTATTCCTTAGGACTCTTTATCTTTGCTTCTAAGGCAAAAAACAGCCTATAGCTTATGCAAAGATTAAACAGTCACTTCACTTTTGTGAAAATATAAATATAAAGCATTCTTTGTGGATCAATGCATTCGCTCCCTGGTTTCTCACTCCTTTGAAAATCTAAGTAGTGGCTCTCCTAGAAAACCTAAGTGGCCATCCCGCTCTGTGAGACCTTAGACTTTGGAGCTGTCACTTTCCTCTATGAGTTAGCTCTTTTTTCATTTCGTTAGCATTTTGAGTACTAGCTATACCCAACTGGCTTTGCCTTGTTTTGTTAACCTCTTTCCTTTTCTTCCTCAAATCTTCTTCTTGCCCTTCCATTTTTTCCCCTTATGCTCTGACTGATTCTTTTTGTTCTCAGATCCTCCCTTTTCCCTCTCAGTGCTAGCTCTGTTTCTTCTCCTTCTCCTTCTCCTCCCTCAGTTTCTTTTCAAATCTTCCCAAATTTCTTATTCCCAAACTCAATTGCTAGACTTTTTCATATTTCCCCAAACCTTGCAAAGAAGTCCTTTTCCTTTTCCTACCCAACTTTTCTCTTACCAAAGCAAGAGAGAAAGTCCATGTCCTCCTAAAAGAGGAAAATAAGTAGGAGCTGGAGTCCTGAAAGCCAACTCTAGTCTAGAAACAATTTTTATCTTGGATTTCTGGTGTCGTAACTTGACTTTGACTCTCCTTTACTGTTACTTAACTTCTCTCTCTCTTAATTTTCCTGTGTATAGAAAGGAGATCATAATCCTTGCCTCCCACTACCACTTCTACCTCACAGAAATGAAATGTGGTAAACAGAAATGAGGTATTGCTCTTGGAATTCCACCAAAGGAAGATGCTGTGTAAACTTAGATTAATGATATCATTCTAGAGGTGTGTAGATTGGAGGGAGCAAGTGTTTTGGCTTCTTCTGCACTGACACCTCCCAGTTTTCAATTACAGCACCAGACCAAATTTTTAACAGCCCCCTAAAAGTTGGCACTAGATTAATATGCTGCATATCATGCTTATCTGCTTCTTCCTGGAATCAAGAGTGCTTTGCTACTGTTTTAAACTGGAGCCTGTTACTTCTGGCTCAACAGAGGCAAAGCATTTCATACATACAGTGTGCCCAAAAAGTCTAAAGCAGTTAAGCTGTTAAAGCTTAAAACACATTAAGACTGTTGGGATACCCAGCTTATCTTCCAAAGAAGCTAACTATCAGTGAATAGAAATTTGCTGTGATACAGGATGCTGATGAGGTAGAGGATGAGCAGGAGAAAATAGAAGCAGAGAACACATTCGCTTCCTGAATCTGAGGGTTTAGGGAAGAAGTATAAGAGCTTCTAGTCCGGTGACCTGATCAACCTCCCTTCTTCATTCTTGGACCTACTAATATTTATGCTTTTCCCTGTCTGTATACAGACACTGTTGTTCCAAAGTAGCAGCTGTCTACTCTTTCAGGATGTGGATGCCACAGTAATCTGCATCTTTTTCTTCTTGTCTATGAAGATTAACTGATGGCATGAGAAGATGCAACGAGTTAGGAGAAGTAGACTGGAGCCCTGGGGAGTGTCAGATGCCTTGGGCTCTCCTTCCTACGTACTGCCCCTTATGCCTCAGACAGCAGTCGGCATAATACTTGAATCTACTTCTGGTCTGACAGAATAGGAGAGATCATATCTGTAGCATGTTCAGAAGAGCAATGCTAGGTAAATATGACATCACTGTTGCCTTCATAATCTTGGTCTGATGATGGCTATAGACTAGTTCACTTTTGTGCGGTTTAGGGCACTGTTTGCTCTTGCCTTCCGCTCAGAAGCTGGATCCCCTGAACCCGGGACCATTGCAAGACAGGAATACAAGAGGTGGGCTTGGGGGGGAGGGGCTCTTCTTTGCAGCCCCTTACCATCAAACTTGGCCAAATTCTTGAAGTGCCTGGAAACAAGACTTCTTGACTGGACAGTGGAATTTCTCTTTCAAACAGTGGACTTATTTGAATATGTAGACATTGACAAGGAAGTCTTATTTGTCTCTGAGCTAAGGATAACTTCTGTCTCTCCTCTTTTCTCCCGATCCTCTCTCCATTTATCCTTATGCCTGTCTTTATGCTTGATGTTTGGCTCCCCCTGCTGTAGAGGGAGAGTATTGCCCCTGGAACAAAGAGCTCCAGCAAAGCCACTGGCTTCAGCATAACTCAAGTGAAGAGGACCCGGGTACATTGAAAGGTACCCGCTTTGCCCCTGCCCATCTACTCCCCATCCTTCCCTCATAACTGCCCAGAAATTGCCCTAACGAGCAGGTCCCACATGAAAAGACATTTTTAACGTAATTATATAGACTGTCCCTGGCCCATGCCCGACCACCCTGCTCCCTGTCCCTGGCACCAGGACTCCTTGGAACCTCAGGATCATGCCGTAGGGCATGTATGGAAAAACATGGGTTGGAAAAGAATTCCAGAAATGACCCTGTGGCAAGCTGATTATTCCAATTCTATACCCTGACCCAAAGTTTCCTGTTAAATTCAAGGTAGACATCCTTTCCTGACTAATTTACCCTCAGATCAGCAAGCTTAATGACAAATATATATATTTGGGTCATTTGGGCACCTCTTGAAGGTGACACAAAATGCCTTGTGCAACCACTAGATATACTTTGGCACTTTTCACCCCAAAATGCTTCCACTTTCCTGTTTAAAAAAAAGAAATAGTATTCATAGTATGTTGAACTTTTAAAGACTTCAGGGATATAATTGGCAGCAAAAAATAAAGTGTTAACAGTGAGAAATGTAATTGTCTTCCCTATTCTGCTTAGGAGAGGATAGGATTCAGCATTTTTTCTTTCACCCGGCTTGCCTTCTCTACTTCCTAGCATATCTTAGGCAATCAGACAACATCTCAGCTCGTGTCTTACCAAGATGATTCAGGCTCCTAAAAGAAAACAACTTAGAAACAGACTGAGGGTCCATAGGGAAGGACAGCTGGAACGGAAGAGCTTATCAGAGATCACAATTCACTTGTAAACCAGAGTGAAGCCATAAGGACTGAAACCATATCCGGGTCAGCCAGTTGGATTGCGAGGGGAAGCAGTGAGGCATGGTTGCCATTGTCCATAGGGGCAGTCTTCTACCTAGTGCATAAAAGTACTTGCAGTCAGGTGGTACCTGCTCTCCTTGAACCTTCCCCAATATCCCACTTCGGTTACTTACTGTCCCTGATATTTTAACTCGGCTATGTGGCATGATATGTACACTAATCATGGGGAGCCCATGCAGTGGCGAGCTGCATGGATATGCTTTTGCTATTGCCTGCAAGCTCTTGTATTGCCTTGAACCAGGACCTTTGGTAGCAAAGGTCACCACAGTTGGTTTCAAGGAAGAAATTTGATTGTAGAGAAAGTAGATGAGAATTTGTCTCATTGCCTCATTTCCTTCCACTCATGAGTTATCAAAGCTTCAGCTGTTTATGAGGCATCTCCCCACTCTTTCCAAACCTCCCTTTGCAGTGATGTCCCTTTCCTTGCCAAATGGTGCAGCATGCAGCCTGGGACAGGTATATAAAAGGAGAGCTTCTCATTCCAACATGAGTCCTAAGTGAAAAAAGCAAATGCTGCCAACGTATGTATTGGCAGGTTTGTTGCAAAGCGGCATACCTTCATCCCACCCATTTGGTTGGCCTTCTAAAATACAAGAGTAAGATATCAGACTTGCCCCATGGCTTGGCAAATGGTACTGTAAGTACCCTGCTTCAGGAAGATCCGGGGTATCTTATGGGAAGTCACAGGGCTGCTGATATTCTGATATTCTGTGCTAAGGCATTGCAGCTAAGTATATGGAGACCTTCTTTTGAAAGCTGGTCTCTTCAAAGTCCTGGGTTTGATTCTGAGCAGGTGAACTAAGAGAGAAATTGGTATATCAAACTGCCATCCCAGATAAAGAAAACATTTTCATGGTTCTTTTTCCTTCTCAGGAAACTAATATGCCTCCACAGAGGCATTACTTAAATTGGCCACCTAAACAACATTGAATTTTCAATTCTTGAAAATTACTAAATTACAAAATGCAATTGGGTGAATAGTGGGAGAGTTTGTGTGCTTGTCTACATATTTTCAAATCTCACTTCTGTACGCTACATTAACAGATATTGTAATTTTTCTTTTCTTTGTCTGTTTCCCTTCTTGTGATGGTTTGTCCTTGTTCTTCTTCCCTGAGTTTTGCTTTCCCCTTCCTTACTTTCTCCCAACCTTTCCTGCCTCCCACCTCCCATATCCCTTCTACCCTGTCCTTGCTATGCCAGCTGGGAATCTGAAGCTACAGCAGATTGTAAATCTAGTCGATCCTCTGGAGATCCAGGCAGATGTACATTGGACACACATTCGTGAAAAAGAGGAGGAGGATAAAATGGTGTCTACCTCCAAGTCCTCCAGTTCCAGAGGTAACTGCACTGAGGGCTAAGATCCTTTGTGTACCATCTGAACACTTCTGAACAGCTTCCTTGTGTAGAGGACTTCCTGCTTTGGGGAAAACCCATCTAATAACTTAAAAGCAAGGCCAACAAAACATTTTGTTTTATTTTATTTTAATTCTTTTTTTTTTTTGGTGAGGCAATTGGGGTTAAGTGACTTGCCCAGAGTCACGCAGCTAATGAGTATTATGTGTCAGAGGCCGGATTTGAACTAACGTCCTCCTGACTCCAGGGCTGGTGTTGTATGTATTGCGCCACCTAATTGCCCCAAATTTGGCTGTCTTCTTCTTCTTCTTTTTTTTTTTTTTGACTTTTTTGTGAGGCATTTGGGGTTAAGTGACTTGCCTAGGGTCACACAGCTAGTAAGTGTCAAGTATCTAAGGCAAGATTTGAACTCAGGTCCTCCTGACTCCAGTGCCAGAGCTCTATCCACTGTGCCAACCTAGCTGCCCCAAACCATTTTCCTAATGTTAGATATGGTGTTTGCTCTTAGATTCTTTTCTAAGGTATATAAAGTTTTCCAAGGGTTTAAGGTCTTTTGATCCTAGACTTTTTCAAGCAAAACAACAGATAAGCTTTACTCTTAAAAAATCAGAAATTGTTTGGTTTTTTTTTTTGCCTGTGGTCGTTATAGATTGGGTTAGCCAATCTTTCCATAGTTGTGAATTCTGCTGGCATTTTATTGATGAAATGTATATGTGTGTGTGTATATATATGAATAAATATGTGTATGTGTTTATACACATACATACACACATTTGGTCTATGCGAGTTTATGAGCAGCTAGCTGGCACAGTGGATAGAGTCCTGGGTCTGGAGTCAGGAAGACCTGATTTCAAATCTGGCCTCAGACACTTACTAGTTGTATGACCTTGGCAAGTCACTTAACCCTGTTTGCCTCAGTTTCCTCATCTGTCAAATGAGTTGGAAAAGGAAATGGCAAACCACTCCAGTTATCTTTGCCAAGAAAACCCCAAATGCAGTCACGAAGAGTCAGACATGACTGAAAACAACTAAACAAGAACAAAAATTCAAGTTTGTATGTGCAGGATGAAGTTTGTACATGCTCAGGGACACATATTGTGGAGTTTTCTAGAGAATAGAAATTAAGCCAAAGGGATTCTGGAAATATTTACCATTTTCATAGGATGTATTATATGTTTTTTTCAAGTAACCTCACTTCTCCAAGTTGTTCTTAAGGAAACTGTAAAAGAAAAAAAAATGAAAGTTATTGAAGATTTCAATATCTGTCCTTATCAGTTCCCTCTGCAATCTAGCCTGTATTTTTAAAATACACTTTTATTTATTTATTCTCTTTTTCACTTCTCTAGAATTTTTCCCAGTATCCCTCTCCCTTCCCAGAGAGCTATCCCATATAGCAAATAATATATTTAAGGTACAGAAAGAAAAAGGAAGAGAAATCAACAAACTAGTTAATAGATTGAAAAAAATCTGAAAATATATGCCAGGTACCACAGCCATGGATTCCTGTCCCTCTGCAAAGGAATGGGTTAGGCTTGTATTCTCATGTCTCTTTTGGGGGGCCATGCTTGTTCTTTATAATTTTGTATCATTCACTTTTGTGGTTGTCTTTTCCATTTACCATGTTGTAGTCATTGTACATAGTTTTCTTGCCTTTACTTACTTTGTTCTGGATCCATTCATGTAGATCTTTCCATGCTTCTCTGTATTCATCATTTCTAAAGCGCAATAATAATTCATGTACCATAGTTCGTTAGGTCAACATATATTTATTATAGTGCTAGTTTTTAGCCTACTTTGTTTCTAATTCTTTGCTACCACAAAAAGTACAGCTATAAATATACATATATTTACATATATATGTATTGTATATGTTTATATAACATATATGTTTACATATATGTGTGTGTGTTTTGTGTGTGTGTGTGTGTGTATGTGTGTGTGTGTGTGTGTGGACTTTGTTCTTTTTCGATAAATTCCTTGGGGTATAAGCCTGATAGTGGAATCTCTGGATCAAAGGACATGGACATTTTTACTCACTTTAATTTGCATAATTACACATTTCTTTCCAAAATAGTGTGCTGATTCATAGTTCCACCAGCAATTCACCATCTTCTCATAAGCCCTTCAGTATTGACACCCCATCTTTTTTTGTCATCTTTGCCTATTTGCTAGATATGAAGTGATGTATTTCTCTTAGTATTAGTAATTTGGAGTATCCTTTCCTGTGGTTATTAATAATTTGCAGTCCTTCTTTTGAGAACTGTTTCTTCATATGCTTTCATGACTTGTCTATTGAAATGGCTTTTTGTTCTTATTATTTATTTGTGTGTGAATGTGTATATGTACCTATATCTGTGTACATAACGTGTGTGTGTGTGTGTGTGTGTGTGTGTGTGTGTGTGTGTGTGACTTTTCTATGTATCTTGGATACCAAACACTTATCTGAAAAATTTGACAGGTTTTTTTTTCCCATTCTTTTACTTTCCTTTTTATCCTAGGTTGACTAATTCTGTTCGTGCAGAAGTTTTTCAGTTTCGTGTAATCAGAATTATTTATCTTTTGCATTTGTTTTTAATCCTTGTTTGGTTAAGAATATGTCTCCTACCCTTAGCTATTTCTTTTCAATTTTCCCAGCAATTTTATCAGATAGGGAGTTCTTTCCTTAGCAGCTTATGGTTCCTGCTTTGTTGAACATTGAGTTATTGATTTCTGTTGTTTCTGATTTTTCCTTTCCTAGTCTTTCCATCAACCTACTTCCTATTTTTTTGACCAATCCCAAATGGTTTTGATGATAGCTGCTCTATAATATAATTTGAGGTGTGGTAGTTTAGCACAGCTTTAGCCCAGATCCATAATATCAATCAAATAATCGATCAATAAGCATTTATTTATTATTTACTATATGCCAGGGACTGTGGGTACAAAGAAAATACAAATAGTCCCTAACCTCAGGGAGCTTACATTCTAATGGGAAAGAACACATCTATAAATCAGAACATACACGATAAATACAAAAATGTATGAAAGGTTACCTTAGAAAGGAGGGCGCTGGCAGCTGGGGGGCCTAGTAAAGGCCTCCTAGAAGAAGTGGCTCTTGAGTTGAGTCTTCAAGAAAGCCAAGGATTCTAAGACTCAGAGGTTGAGAGAAAGAGCATTCTAGGCATGAGGAATAGCTAATGCAGAGGCACAGCAATATGAGACAGGGTGTTCAGTGCAAGGAACCTAAGCAGGGCAATATTGTAGAGTTCATGAAGAGGAGTAGAATATTAGAAGATTGGAAAGATAGGAGGGTTCAGGTTTTGAAGAGCCTTAAATGCCAAACAAAAGATTTTATATTTCTTCCTGGAGGTAAGAAGAAGCCACTTGAGTTTATTGATTAGGGGGGTGGAATGTTGTGACTTGCGCTTTAGGAAAATCACTGGCCACTGTGTGGACAATTGGAATCGAGGAAGACTTGAATCAGGGAGACCAGTTAGAAAACGTGCAATAATTTGGGTGAGGAGGGCCTGAATTAGGATGGGGACTGTGCAAGTGACAAGAAAGGGGCATATGGAAGAGATGCCATAGAGGAATCAGTTACAAGATTTGGTATCTTATTGGATATGTGGTGCCTGCAAAAGGATAAGAACCTAGGGTGAACCTGCGTGACTGGAATGATCAGAAGTGCCTTAAAAATAAGAAGGAAATTTGGAAGAGGGTAGGAAAGACACTGAGTTCACTTTGGGGCGTGTTTACTTTGAGAAGCCTGCAGGACATCTACTTCAAGGTGTCTAATAGACAACTGGAGAAGAAAGACTCAGGGACAGCTGAGTGGTACAGTGGGTAGAGCTCTGGCCTTGGAGTCAGGAGGACCTGAGTTCAAATCCGGCCTCATCCAGCTTGACACTTACTAGCTGTGTGACACTGGGCAAGTCACTTAACCCCATTGCCTCACCCAAAAAAAACAAGAAAGAAAGAAAGACTGGACCTCAGAAGAGAATAAATAGATCTGGGAATTATCTGCAGAGGGATAATAATTAAACCCATGAGGTCACCAACTGAGAAAGTATAGAGAGAAAAGAGAGGAGGGGTCAAAAGAGCCTTGGGGGACACCCACAGTTAGAAAAAGAGTTACAAAAACCCAGAGAGGAGATAGTATCCTGGAAAAGAAGGTGGTCAGTAGTGTCAAATGCTCCAGAGGAGGAGTGAGTGTGGAAGGGTATAAGCATTTAAAGTGCCTACCATGTGTCAGGCACTGTGCTAAGTATTTTTTTTTTACAAATATTATCTCATTTGATCCTCATAACAACCCTGGAAAGTAGGTGCTACTATTACCTCCATTTTACAGTTAAGGAAACTGAGGCAAACAGAGGTTAAGTAATTTGCCCAGGGTCATACAGCTAGTAAGTGTCTGAGGCCAGATTTGAACTTAGTTACCCTTGACTCCAGGCCCAGAGCGCTATCCACTTGCTGCCAGAGAGATCAATAAAGATCTCCTAATTAAGAATTAATCCTTGGTAACTTGGTAGACCGCAGTTTCAGTTGAATGATAAAGTCAGAAGCCAGATTTCAAGAGATTTAAAAGAGGATGACTGAAGAAAGTGGGGGCTTCTATTATAAACTTTTTCAAGTTTAGCTGAGAATAGGAGAGATGTTGTTGAATGATAACTGGTGAGCATGGCAGGTTCTATTGAGGGTTGTTTAGGGATAGGAATAAATAGCAGGAGAGGAGCCAGAAGATAGGGAGATATTGAAGATTGGAGAGAAAGTGGGGATGATGGGGGAGCAATCTACTGGAGAAGGTGGGAGAGGATGGGATTTGCCTGGGCAAGCAGTTTCCTCCCTTTTCCACACCCCCACATTAGTGTACCAAAGTATACATGATAAAGCATGGCTGTGTGCGATCTCTGAGTAATGAATCAAGTCCCTGCCAAGTTCTTGCACTAGTTGTGCTTCAGGGACCTTCTCTGTAAGGTTTTCAGGAGGCTACCAGACTAAATGGGCGCTCAGCCAGAGCAGCGGAAGTGGTTTGTAGTTGCTTCTGAGTTTGGCAATGAACGTTTGCCAGGAGAAGCTGGAAGCTACCTTGTGTGTACGTGTGTGTGTGTGTGTGTGTGTGTGTGTGTGTGTGTGTGTGTGTGTGGAACATGAGTTATTATTATATTTCTTCCATGCCTTGTCTTAATATGTAGGGAGAGGGGAACAGAGAGAGGTAATATTTGAGAGGTTTTCTCAGTCACTTCTCAAATGCCTTTCTCAAGACCCACCTACCCACCCGACCGTACTTCCCAAAAAGTTGGTGGCTATCACCACCAAAGCCTCGGACTTTAAAACCTAGTCTTTTAGAATGGGATGTCTCTTTGGCCTTGTATTCATATGGACTTTGCCAGTTGCTCTTCTCCCTTTCACCACATGTTGTGAACATGGCCCTGAATGTGCTACCCCGGGTGAGTTTCTACTCTGGTTCTCAATCTTCTAATACCTTCCGTGGTTCACTTCTGGTCTTGGTTGCTTGGAATCACCTTACTCCTCAGTATTAGAAGTGCATACCAGTATGTAATGTTGCATTTATCATTTGTTTTAAATTCAGTGCCTGACCTTCCTTCCATACGCCACGCAGCAGTGCAGGCCTGGCTGGAGACGGTCTCTGGAGGTAGTCTGGTGATGTTTCTTCTATACCAATTCACAATAACCGCTCCTTAAGCTCAGCAATTCAGCTGGTATCTTAACAGAATTCTGGCCCTGTTGCTCCTGCATGCTCAGAATAGGGTGGGAGGGAGGGAGGGAGTGGGCATTGCATGCCTTGCTCAGACAGCCATTCTTGCATGAACCAGATATTCATCTTAACCCTTGCAGGGCAGACCCAACGAAAAGTGATGTTGTAAGTAGGATACAGGTCAAACAGTCGGGTGTGGGGATTTGAGTATGTGCCAGGACAGTGAAGAAATATATTTTTAGCATTGGGGTTTCAACTAAAGTCTGTAGAATGATTAAGGTATAAGAGCAAAGGAATTTAGAAGAATTCCACAAAACCACTGAGGACTCCCAGAAGAGGAAACAGGAAGAAACATTCAAAATTTTTTATGGAGTGAAATGATAGCTACAACATTGAAAAAGGAAAAAAAAAAAGATTGAAAAAGAGCCGGAATGGTGTATATTGTTTAACTGAAACCAGAGGAAGTGAGCCACCTAATAAAAGCTATAACTAGAAATATCAGCTCATTTTACAAACTTCATTTCAGTATGAGGTTGATGAGGTCAACTGTCCATCTGAGATTAAGGGCTCTTATGGGATAAGGAATAACAGAATTTCTATTTCCTACTGCCTTTATGACCTGCCCTCCCCCATCTTTCTTACTGGTAGTAGAGGGAAAAAGTTGGGAGTCCAGGTTGTTCAAAGCATTAAATCAAGAGAAGAATTTTCATCTGCTGTCTAGTTCAGATATAAAGAACATTGCTGCTATGCGTATAAGCCACTAGCCACTTGCATCTCTGGATGATTTGACAAGGCTGAAGTCTTAGGATACATGACTAAAGATTAGCGATTTCTGGCTTTCACTATATATAGCTCATTGATTGGTGTGGCAGCTTCTGGCACCTTGCTCTCCATCCTAACTCCAATTCAGCACTCCACCCCCTTTGCCCAAGCTGTATCCTTCAACATTAGCTGCTGTTGCAATGTTATCTACCATTTGCTTATTCATCTTTGACATATGTGACTGAATTGTTTCTTTGAAGGTATCCTCAGGAGATTTTAAAGTCTTCTTCCTCCTAACACTGTAAGAGAAACTTCCATATTATAAATTTCAAACAGGAAAATTTGATCAAGAATCAGGAGACCAGCCCAGTCATCTGGTAAACTAGATTTTGCCTGATTGGGAAAGCTTATCTAATGATCTCCTGTGCTCCCCAGTCTATTTTTCTACAGCAATGGTGGTATTATTTTCCTAGTTCATAAGCATTTACATAAACTCTCTCAAATAAGTCTTTAGAGCAATGGGCTCATGGCCAATACTGTTGACTTAGCTGCTTGATGTAAGAGGGCCAAGTTCTGTTTCTTACCTGGTCTTTTACTTCTCCAGTCTGGTAAAAGACGATCAGGGATCATTGGCCACATCCTTTGAAAATCAGTTGGGCTTCTATGACTCCATCACATTCCTCAGTGTGGCTTTGGTGGCTTTTAGGGAACCATGGATTCTCCTCCCCAATGAAACAGCTAGAATGATTGAAAAAGAAGGTACATCCTAAGATTCTAAGTCCAGGAAGATAAGACTACTTAGCCTCTGTAGAGACAAAACAATGAAGTGGTGAAATCTATCTGAACATAAATCCTATGTCAAAAGAAGTGCCCAAGAAATTCCCTCCTCTACCCCAAATTTGTCATTTTTATGAGGCACCTGTAATTATGACTTTTAAGTCCTACTTACTGGCCTTTAAAAGAATTAACCTTCCTGAAAAAGCTAAATGTCAGTAAAATCAGTGAGATGTTTCCTTGCCTGTACGAAGTATCCCAACAATAAATACCCCATCAGTTGTTACTTCTGCCTTTTGTGGGGAACCAGCTGTGAGAATGGCACTTAAAATGGGATGGAAGGAAGAAGGTTTGGGGCCATGTTGTTTTGTCTGACAGTTGGTTTTGTTTTGTTTTGTTTTATATTCTTAGGCTGGAGAGAACAGGGAAAATTGAAAAATAAGTAATTTTAGCATTGGCAACACCTTCAAATATCCCTGGTTTTTGAAAGAGAGGAGTATACAGTCAATCAGACATTTATTAAATGTGTTAGGCTCTGAGGAAACAAAGACAAAAATAAAACAGCCCCTACCCTCCAGGGGCTTACATTCTAATGGGGAGAACAACATGCACCTATACTAGTACATAAGGAAGAGATGCACATTAACCTTGGTGAAGGGTGGGGAGAAGGCATTTAAAGCATCGTACAAAAGGGGGCAATTTAATTGAGTCTTGAAGGGAACCAAGGATTCCAGTGTGATAATGAGGATGGGAATGCATTCCAGGGGTGGGGGAGAGCCAGCCAGTGCAAAGGCAGAACTGGGAGATAGAGTGTCATGTTTGAGAAATGTGCAGAAGGCCAATTTGGCTGACCATAGAGTGTCCAGAGGAGAGTAGTATGTAATAAAGTTTTCAAATGTTGTAAAGAGTTTTAAATGTCAAACAGAAAAGTTTGTAGAGGTAATGGGAAGCCATAGGAGTTTACTGAGTAGGGGGGTGACATAGTCAGAAGTTTGAAGGATGGATTTAAAGTCAGCCCAAGTAGACCCAAAAGTATCTTTAAACTGAAAAACTACCATTTCTACATAAAATATATGTCTGTCTCACATGCCCAACTCCTTTTCTCCTTTTATATTCCTAAAGCTAATTTTGAGTTGTACTTTGCATAATTGAGAAGAGGTACAAAGATGGACATTTTATGGCAGAGTTTCTGCTCCACTCATATCAAGTTCCCACAGGGAGCTTGGAGATACAAATACATTAGACAGTGGTGTATGGAGAGATGCCATCTCATTTGAACTCGACTTTCAGAAACCAGGTTGTGTTCTTGTCTTGATTTCCTGCAGGACCCCCAGGAAATCTAATCCAATGAGTGTTTCCTAGTCCTTATGTTACTCTGTCATGGACTTTGATCTACAAACTATGTCTAATTAATGACAAGTCAGAACATAAGCCCCATTCTGGAAATGAAAAATGACTTTGAATTCTTTGACTGTTGCAACCTATGAAACGAAGAGAGGAAAAAAGTGATCATCATTCTTGTTCAGTCCCTTTCTACCTCTGCAGGAGTGGTGGGGAAAAAAGGCAGAAGGTGTTCATTAGTTTTTTAGATAGTCTGTAAACATTAATTGGACTCTAAATGAGAGATCTTTGTCCAGTGCTCACTGAATCATCACATTAGAAGAATTGAACCACATCAATATTGACATTTGTGAAATCAATTAAACCAGAAGACAAAATGTATTTGCAGCTTAAAGGAAAGAATGAATGGCTCACAGTTTCTCCTTTGGCAAACAAGGATTTTATTTCATTATGCCCCCAAAGGCTGTAAGAAAGATCCTTTCATTAGACCTTCATCGTCCCATCTTGCAGTGTTTGTGCTGCAGAGGATGAAGGGCAGGGCAAATTATAAGAAGAACTTAAATAAAATTTTCTGAACCACTTCAACACATAGCTTCAATTCAATTTAACAGACATTTATTAATTATCTACTCTGCATGAAACAAGGGGCTCACGTTCTGCCAGAGACGTGACATGTACACAGAAAAGTATATGACAAGGAAAATTAGGAGGGAAAGCACTAACCGCGGTGGTAGGGTGGTGGAGTGAGGCAGCTGGGTAAGGGCAGAGTTCTAAGAAGGTATCACAGAGGAGGCAACCCATGAAATTGAGGCTTGAAGGAAAAAAAATGAAAAATCGGAAATGAGGAAATGCGTGGTAGGCAGAGGAGAACCACCTATGTGAAGAAACAGAGGCAAGAAATGAAGTTGTCCAGATGGCTTGAATGTTAAGTTTGTAAAGGGGAGGTGGGTAGTATGAGAGTCAGATTAGAATAGAAAGTGGGAGCCAGCTTGTAAAAGAAACTTAAATATCAAGAGTTTACATTTTATCCTAATTATAGCAAAGAAAGAACAACTGAAGGTTTGTTTTTCTTTTTTGTGTGTGCAGGAGAATGATATGTGTCTTGGGGAAATTATTTTGGTCCCTGTGTGGAGGATGGATTGGAAAGGGGAGAGACTGGAGATAAAGAAGCCCAGTTAGCAGACTCTTACGGTCGTCTGGAGGAGAGGTATTGAGGGCTAGAATTAGGATGGTAGCTGTGTAAGTGGAGAGAACAGTACATAAGAATGCTAGGGATTCTTTGATATTTGGTCACTTCATTAAGAAGTTAGGCACGAGCAGGAAGGTCAAAAAGTACATAGGAGAATATAGTTTAAGAAATGAAAGAAGCTAAAAGTCTGGAGACTTAAAAACCTCATGCCTATATTTCATGAATAACTTCAAGAAGAGAGAAGATGCTAGACTTGGCAAATACCAGACATTGTCACCAATATAAATATATATATATATATGTATATGATTTTCTGTCTTAACAGAAAATTACCCGCTGGTGTTGTGGAGTTATTTCAGAAATAATCAAGTGTCCATGTGTAGTCAGACCATCAACTAGTTAGAGCAAAGTTAAAAATCAACATCAGATTTAAAAAAAAGGATAATATGACAATTACAGCCTAGTTACACATGATATCATTGACCAAAAAAGGCCAAGATCTGTTTTCATCACCCCATGACGTAGGACTGTCACATTTGGATTTTAGTTCCCCAGTGAGGAAGGACAAGTGACACAGAGGCCCAAGTCTGTTGGACCAAAGTGTAAAAGTGTACATTGATGACCTCTGTGCTGAAGGCAACCCAATCTCAAGAGGGGCCATTTTACAGGATCTCTCATGGGAAGGATGAGAAAAAATAAATGCCTTTGCTACCTCCCCAACATTATCGAGCACACCAATAATTCCCATCCTATATACCTGCCTTCTAATCTTTATAAGTCTTTTTTTGTTTATTTTCTTAATGCCTTTTACTTCTTAACACCACAGTTATTCCCTAATGTATTCATACACAGAGAACTGTCTCTTGTAACAAAGAAGAATAGATAATACCAACCAACACAACAACCTTGTCTGTCAGCATATGCAGTGTTCAGCATTCATAATGCTCCTTCCTCTTTACCAAGAGAAAAGAAGGGATTCTGTCACCTGTCCTCTGGAGCCTACATTGGTCACTGCATTTACTCAAAACACTGCTGCCTTTTAGCATTTTTTTCATTGGTATTATTGTAGCCATTTTGTATACTGTACAGGAGAACTCAGCCTTGTTTTCTTCGCTGTGTATCATAAAAGTCTTCCCACATTCCTCTGAATTCCCAATAATTGTTATTTCTTATATTCCATTATGTTAGCGTACCACAGTTTATTCAGTCTTTCCCCATTGTTCTGTGTTCTGGGTTTTTTTTAATCATTTGAGTCAGAGCACAAGACGGCCTTTAAAGTTCTCCCACAAGGAGTCTAATATATATATGTTAAGGCTAGGTGGCACAGTAGATAGAACACCGGCCTAGAGTGGGGGAGATCTGAGTTCAAATTTGGCCTCAAATACTTAATAGCCCTGTGACCTGGGGCAAGTCACTAAACTTCTGTTTGTCTATTTCCCCACCTGTAAAATGGGGATAATGATAGTACCTACCATAAGGGGCATCTGGATGGCGTAGTGGATAGAGCGCCGGCCCTGGAGTCAGGAGGACCTGAGTTCAAATCCGGCCTCAGACACATGATGCTCACTAGCTGTGTGACCCTGGGCAAATCACTTAACCCCGATTGCCTTGCCTCAAAAAAAAAAAAAGTACCTACCTGCCAGGGTTGTTGTGAGGATCAGATGGAATAGTCATTGTAAAACACTTAGGACATTGGCACATAGTAAATGCTATATAAATGTTAGCTATCATTATTACTATTATATAAGATTTCCTTGACAAATGCAGCTTCAGACATGAAGACTTGTAACAACCCTCTGATTATTCATATCAGACAAGGCACAAAATGGGGATACATATGATTGCCCAAGATGTTCACCACTGCCAGACAAAATATTCCAGAATGAACCCTAATGCAGTAGAGGTTCCTTATAAAGGATAAGGTCCCCCATCTACTCCTTTGTGTGGATGATATTGTACAGATTGCATCAATCCCTAGAATATTAACAAGGCCTCCTCCATAGGGGTTGTGAATATTCAAAAGAGAAAGTTCTGATAATCCATAGAGGAAAAATTAAATGGATGAAAAACTACCTATTGTCCCGACTATGACATATAGTTGGAAGACCAGTCCACTTTGTTATCTGGGACATCAACAGTAAGTGAATGCATTGAGTCAGAATTACCCAAGAGGATGGGAGCAGAATAGATTGCACTGAGGAAAATATGCATTTCTTTTCATGTCCCAAGAGAGTATAAAAAACCTAGCTTTCTAACCTAAATGCCCTCTCCTTGTATGGTTACAAATCTTAGAACATCATGGTCTCTGAAAAATCAAATGGCAGATGACCAAAAGTTTGAAAAGAGAAGGGCTCAAGCAGGCTACAGCCTGTATCCAGTGATGACCTACGTGTAAGTAGTATCTTAACAAAGGTATCATTCATGATATCTGATCAGAAAATGAGATAGACTTGTCATGTAGTAAGTTGAATAGCCTTGGTTCTACGTTCGTGCCCACCAAACATAGAATGACCTAGAGAAAAGCATCCAGCAGATTGAGTAGACCACCCTCTATGGAACATGGACAAGAATCACAGAGGATGAGAAGGCACAGATGAGTTGCATTCTGTACCAAAGCAGGAAATACCCACATTGATGAGCTTATAAATCCCATGAAATGAAACAATGATAGTGACAGCTATTATGATAATAGCCGGTATCCCTGTAGTGCTCAGAACAATCCTCTGTGGTGGAGAGTATACAGGTATAATAATAATCCCTATTTTACATATGAGGCAGCTGAAACTCAAAGTTTAAATGCTCATGGCTACATTGCTAGCAGGGGTCAGAGGTAGAATTCAAACTCAGCTCTAGCCTGGCTCCAAGTCCAACCCTTTTTGCTCTGTGTCACATTACTGACCCTCACATGATTTTCCTTGGCCTAGTTTCACTAATCACCCAGTAAACAATATGCTTTAAAGCAAACTATGTTTCCTGCTTATTACTTATGTTATACAAGATTACCATTGTTGGATGTCGGAATGTTTATCTGCATTTATTTAATCAGCCAACATTTTTTTTAATTAATTTATTTTTAATTTTCAACAATCACTTTCATGAGCTTTTGAGTTTTAAATTTTCTCTGCCTCTGTCCCTAAGACAGCATGCAATCTGATATAGTCAGCCAATATTTATTAAGCCTCTGTTATGTGCTAGGCACTGTAAGGAAATAAGACACGGTCACTTCCTTCAAAGAGTTTATTATCTAGTAGCAGAGATAAGAGCAGCTAGCCATAGAGTGCTGGGCTGTGAATCCGGAACACTCATCTTCCTGAGTTCAAATCCGGTCTCAGATGCTTACTAACTGTGATACTGGGCAAGTGACTTAACCCTGTTTGCCTCAGTTTGCAAACCACTCCAGTATCTTTGCCAAGAAAACCCCAAATGGAGTCACGAAAAGTCAGGCATGACTGAACAACAAGGAGAGATAAGGCATGTTTAGAAATGAAATTAACTTAGAATTTATTACATGAAAGTTAATATAAGGGAGAGATAAATACCACTTTTTTTTCTCTGACGACTTCCCTGATCTCCTTCTCCTGGACACTGATATGGGCTTTGAAACATTTGAGCAGTTAAAGAAAAAAAGGACATCCTAGGTATAGAGAGAGGCGAAAGCACGAACTGTATTTGAGGGATGGTGAGTAATACGTTTTGGTTCAAGTATACTGTGTGAAGGAGACAACAGTAGTTTGGAGCTCTATAATAGAGGACCTTGAATGCCAGACTAAGCTGTTTAGACATGATTTCTTAGGCAGGGAGTCATTGAAGGTTTATGAACAAGAAAGTGATAATGACAGGAGTAGGAAGATAAATCTTACCGTGGTGTGAAGGATGGATTGGATTTGAGAAAACAGAGGGCTGGCGATGGGTGGGATAAAAAGCAATTAAGGGGCTATTTTAATAGTCCAGGCAAGTTAATAATGAAGGTCTGACCTAGAAGACATCAGTGGCTGCAGTAGATTTTGCTGAGATGAAATTAGCAGGACTTGGAAACTTGATTGGATAGTAGGAGCCTAGGTTCAAGATGATAGGATTTACATATTTCAAGCATACAGTGCTTAACAGGAAATTAGGTGATTTCTTCCAGGTAGCTGGAATTGTGAATTAGAAACCTCCAGGTGGAGGTCAGGGCTGGAAATAAGGTTGAAGCTATGGTAGTGAATGAGTCTGCTAAGGGAGTTGCTGTCAGGAAAGGAGAGCCAAGGCCAAGGATAGAACCATGTGTTTTAAGAAAGGAAGAAAAAGAAGGATTCATCAATGAAACAGACAAGTAGAGGAAAATGAAACAAAAATTTAAAGAGTGGAAAGGAAAGGGGCTTACCAGTACCCTATCTTAAACTATATATGATGAAGTAACTCTCAGAGCAGTTTGGTACTGGTTAAAAAATAGAGAGATTGACTTGTGAAGTAGATTAGGCACACAGCATACAAACAAACCTGAGAGTTCAGTAAAGACACTATTATTTCATAGAAACTACTGGGAAAACTGGATAGCAACATGGCAGAAATTAGATTTAGACCAACGCCTCACACCCTATATCAAGATAAGATCCAAATAGATATGTGCCCTAGATATAAAAGGTCATATTATCAGCAAATTACAGAAATGGAAGAATTAATTTTCCAGGTTTAAGGATAAGAGAGAAATTTGTGACCAAAGAAGGGGTAAAGTGGATCACAGTAGATAGAATTGACAGTTTTGATTACATAAAATTAAGGGTTTGCACAAACAAATCCAATACAGATAAGTTTAGAAGAGAAACAGTTTTCTGACTGAGTTTACAGGGCTGGGGCATGAAGCCTTTGTAGCAAGTTTCTCTGGTAAATGTCTCATTTCCAAGATATATAAGGAACTGATTCAAATTTATATGAGTAAGAGCTATTGATATGGATATGGACAGACAGTTCTCAAGACAAGAAACCAAGGCTATTTACAGCTATATGAAAAAGTGCTTCAAATCAGTAATAACTAGAGAAATGCAAATGAAAACAATTCTAAATTCTACTTCATGCCTATGAGATTGGCAAAGATGACAAAAGAAGAAAATGACAAGTATCGGAAGAGCTACAGAAATAGCAGGCATACTGATGCACTTATAAATGGGTCCACTTGTCCTAGAAAGCAATTTAGAATTATTTACCAAAAAAGAAGTGTGTGCCCTTTGACCCAACTATACCACTCCCTGTGCCTGTATTCCAAAGAGATGAAAGGAGGGAAAGATCCTCTATGTACAAAAATATTTATAGTTGCTCCTTTTGTGGTGGCAAAAAAGCTGAAAACTAAGGGGTACTCATCAGTAGTGGAATGGGGAACAGGGAGACAAATTGTGGTATATGAATGTAATGGAATAAATACTTTTATGCTCTAAGAAATGAGGGGAAATGAAGTAAGAGAAAGAAGAGCGTGCACCATAATGGAAACCCAACGTGGATAGATAATACCCAGAGGAGTGATTAGACGTGTATACAAATGTAACTTAATGATATGAAATATAACATAATGAATATGAAATAGAGTCTATTACATAAAAAGTCGTATCCACAGGGCGAGTAAAAGAAGACAAGGTCTAAGGAAAGGTCATTCACTGGATTGGTAGATTAGTTGGTTATTAGTGGAGGCTAAGTGAGTGATCAGTAAGGAAATGGAGTGGAGTAGAGGATGCTTTTCAACTAATTTAGTATTAAATAAAGAGATATAGGGAGGTAGTTTGAAAAGAAGTTAGGATCAAAAGGTTTTTGTTTCAAATAAGGAAGTTCAGTGTATGTGTATGGATAGGCTGATTTAACCTTGGAAAAAGTGAGGATGATTAATGCCTTGTCTCACCTTTATAGTACTTACAAGGTCATGTTTTATCCAAAATGTGGGCTTTGTATTAATTAACCACCACCACCACCACCCTTCTCCTTTGGCCTTTTCCTTTTTAAGAGTGTTGCTCCAAATCCCTTAAACAAAGCTATAGCCTCTACTACAAGGATCTGGAGAAGTTAGGTCAACTGTTCAGAGCCTCCATGGAGTCTGATTACTGATTCTTTCCACAGTACTATGGTAGAACAACAGGAATCGGGCTAAAGTGAATGTTAAACCGAGCACAACAAAAGCTCAATTCTCCCAGAGTAAAGATGCCGTTTCTCTGGGTCCATGCCCTTTCAACCTACATTGAGCTTTGGGCCTTTGCAGATCCCAGGAGAAGAAAAGAAAGATGATGTAGGTCTTGAGCTTGTGCTTGACCCAGGTAAAATCGTTCCACTTGGTCCAGATCTGGTCCAAATATTGGTCATATTCAGATCCTCCTGCCCCCTCACTCTCAGGCCTCAGCTGTACATGGAGAACTTCCCCATCCCATCATTTGCCTGGAGTATCTACCACCTCTTTCCCTGCTCTGGAAACAGTCAGTCTCTTTCCTTTTCTTAACCTTTCTATATTGCAGCCCCATTTGATGAAAATGACCTGGAGGAAGATGTGGAAACAGAGCCTGCAGAGATGGAGGGAGAGGCAGCAGAGGACGGAGACACTGGAGACACTGGTGCTGAGCTGGATGACGGTAAGGGGCAGTGCCAGAGGAGAAGAGGAAGTCGGAATTGTAGCAAACCCCAAATTGTATATGGGAGCACCATGACTGGTGATTGGGAGCGAGTTAAAATACAAAAGCAAACAGCCTAAGACTTTGCCAGCCCAGGCAATGACTCACCAGGTCGCAGAAGGAAATAAATAGAAAGGACAGGACAGATATCTTCCTTCCTTCTTGGCTTAGCTGATAATAAAGAATGTGCCTTAATGTATACACCTGCAAAGTGAAACCAGTTAGAAATTCACCTGGATTACCACGTTGGGGTTTAAAGACACGATCTTCCTTGGCTTTATGCAAGCCTCCCCAAATCAGAAATGTCAAATTCGCAGCCCAAAACCCTCCTAAGTGTGATACGAACCAGATTAAAGTGTAATTGGGAAAAGTTTAACAAAATAAATAAAAATACAGTGAAACATAGATAGCGTTGCATTTTAAAACTAATCAATGTGCAACTCGCAGGGATCCTTCTATACAAATTAGTGGCCCCCATTTCTTGTTAAGTTGCCTTAGATTAGAAGATTATTGCCCCCACTGGTAGCTAGGAATGAGAAAAATATGACCAAGTTCTATCCAACAAGAATTTTTTTTAATCACCAGTTATGTACAAGACTCTAGAGATGTGAAGAAAAGCAAACTAGCCCCTATTTTCATACAGCCTACATTGACCAGGAGCGGGAGGGTACTACCAGTTGCAAGGATCAGGGTCACCTTGTGTAAAAGGCAGCACCTAAGCTGGGCCTTAAAGCTAGGACAAGCTTTGCAAAGGCACAGAGGGAGGAAATACAGTAGATGATGCAGTAGAGGACAGAAAGAAAGAGGAACTGGGTATATGTGGAGTGGGGCATAGGGAGACAGTGCCAGGCCCATAGTAGGTGCTTAATAAATGCTTGTTGACTTGAATCTATTCACATAAACCAATTGCAGTTCCATCCCTTAAAGTTTGTACCATCTTTTTCTATTTCTGCCGAGCCCGTTCTCTTCCCTAAGAACAGGTACTGCCTGGTTGTCTTGATTTTCTTCTAAAAACAGTGGGTGAATAGTGCCCCTCACATTTCAAAGCACATCATCTAGTTTACTGTTCAGTCATTTTTTCAGTCATGTCCAACTCTTTGTGACCCCTTTTGGGGTTTTCTTGGCAAAGATACTAGAGTGGTTTGCCATTTCCTTCTCCAGCTCATTTTAGAGATGAAGAAACTGATGCAAACAGGGTTAAGTTACTTACCCAGGGTCACACAGCTAGTAATTGCCTGAGGCCAAATTTGAACTCAGGAGGCATCCTCCTAACTCCTAGCCTGGTGCTCTATCCACTGTGCTACCTAGTTACCCTACATATTGAGACCAGTTTATAGTCTCAATATAGTTCATGGTTTTTTTTAATTGAGGAATAATAATGTCGTTAAGAGAAGTCACAAATGAAAAGAAATAGTACTGTGCACCTGCAGAGCACATGACTCAATTGCACGGGTTCCCTTTTCAATGTTTAGACATTATCCTCCGTGGTCTCCTGGCCAGGGCATCCTTACCTTCACAGTCTCCCTAGTACTACACTGCTCTCTAGGGACCCACTTTCCAAAGAGGGAGATAACATGTGTAAACAACTTTGTTTTATACACACACACACACACACACACACACACACACACATATTTACAAGATATAGACAGGCTAAATTGGAGATAATCTCAGAGCAAAGGGACTAAGATTAAGAAGAATAGGAAAAGCTTCTTGCGAAGGTGACACTTCAGCAGAGACTTGAAGGAAGCTGGGGAGGGAGAGAGTTCTAGACATGTGGAGGACACCCAGTGAAAATGCCTAGAATCAAAAGATGGAAGTGTCTTATTCTAGGAACTGTAAAGAGGCCTGTGCCCCTGGATTAAAGAGTATATTGGGGTGGGGAGTAGATTGTAATGTGTAAGAAGACTGAAAGTGTAGGAAGAGACCAGGTTACAAAAGGCTTTACAAGCCAAATGACTGTCATTGGCAGGGAGTCTTCAGAGAGTCAGAAGGTTTAAAAGACAGGGCTGTGACCAAGTTAGAAGGAGGGAAGCAGGTAAAAGTAAGCCCTGGGCTTTAAGCCATGCATTTGGAAGGGGGCAGACATATGGATCCTAGTGCCAGGGTGTTTGTGAACCTAAAAGTCCTCATAGAATTCTGATGGAACCAGACTGAGAGACTTCCACAGAATTCCATGAAGCAGATGACCAAGCACCCTAAAATTTTACCTGTGAGTCATGAGTTCCAGAGACTGTGTTTCATGCTAAACTGGATGATGGCTAGCATTTATATAATATTTTAAGGTTTGCAAAGCACTTTATACATATTATCTCATTGATCTCTGCAACAACCCTCTGAAATAAGTACTATTATTATCCTAACAGAATACCATTGTTGGTAGTTAACATTCTCCAAAGAATTTAAAATGGGTATCACTCAAAGGACAGTGGTGAGTATAACCAGAAGTGCCCCATCGAAGCAATGTGTGATCCAAAAATATGGTGGACAGGTTCCATGGCAAGAGTGAGGAAAAACTGTCCTCCACAGGCATTCTCCTGATGGCATTTGAAAAGGAGGAAAAGGCATGTTGGAAAGAACCCCCTTTTATGGATGAAAAAACAAAGGTTGAGAGAGGTCAAGTGATTTGCCCAGGGTTACAGAGCTAGTAAGCATCTGAGAGATGCTCCATCGTTGTATCTCCCATACCTGAATATGATAAATAAACATTAGGATATGATTTGCCTGGAGCCTGTTAGGGATTGCTGACTTGGAAAGGAAAGACAATAATAATTTGTATCTAGAACACTTTACTGGCTTCCTTCTCTCAGATCAGCGCTGGTCTGATGACATCCCATCTGATGCTGAAGCTGAGTTGGGTTTACAGTGCCAGGAAGCAATAAAAAGAGAGCTAAAGCTTGAAGTATCAGAGAAGGAAGAGGAGCAGCCAACCTCCCTACCGCACCAGCAAGGAGAAGGTAACCTAACAAGAGAAATTACTTCATTCCAATGAGTGACTGTCTGGGTAGGAATTGTGGGGAATCCTTGAGGAAAAAATAATTCAAGGACTCTGCCAGTCCTCTGAATAGACAAATCATATCCAGGGAAGTTTGGGAAATAGAGAGAACTAGAAATAATTGATATGGAAGGAAAAGTGAGTCTGGTTTGGCTGTCCTCCTACCTCCAGTCAGTTGTACTGTCTGTCCATCCCTTCCTCCTCTATATTCTCTCCTCTCTAGTTTTTCAACAACTATCCTGGTCCTCCTCCTCACCAATCTAACTACTCTTTCTTTTTCTTGTTTGCTGGCTCATCACCTGTAACATGACCATTAATTGTAGATACAACTAAAAGATCTCTCCTAGATCCTCTTTTCTTCATTCTGTACACTCTCTCACGTTGGTGACCTCATTAGCTCCCAGATTAGTTCCCTTATTAGTTTAATTGACATCTCTGTGCCAATATCTCTCAGATCTAAATTTCCAGCCCCACTTTCTCCCTAGAGTTTTAGGCCCATATCACCTGCCCATAGGACATTCCAAAATGGATGATCCATACATACCTCCAACATGTCCAAAATAGCTCATTGTCATTTCCCCTAAGTCAGCTCCTTTTCCACATTCCCTGTTTCTTCTGAGGGCTTCTGTGCCTTTCCAGTCTCCCAGTTTCCCGTCTCCCTTTGTCATTATCTTCAATTCCTCATTCCCCCTCACTGTGCAAGTCTTTGCCAGATCCTGTAGTTGTTATATATATATATATTTTATATAGCATCTCTCATATCCAACCCACCACCTGACTTCAGGCCGTCATCACTTCTCAACTAGGCTACTAAAATGGGCCTCCTAATTGGTCTTCCTGCCTCAAGTGTTTCCTTCCTCTACCCTCCACAGCTGTCCACTGTGCCTGAAATGCTCTGTCCCCTTCTTCCTCATAGTTTCTCTGGCTTCTTTCAAGACTCAGCTCAAATCCCACTTTCTGCAGGAGGCCTTTCCTAGTCCCCTAAACTAATGTTTTCCTTTTTTCAGTTTTTTTCCTTCTCATCTAATCTAATTTTCTCATCTAAAGATATAGATCTTTAATAAATGTATAGAAGAACATGGGCAAGAAAAAAGGACAGGCAGGCATAATTGAGCTGCAGTTGTACCGTAAGAGGGGGATGCCCACATCCACATTCAAATTACAGATTCGTTTGAGCCATTGTCCTCTGCCAGACATCTAACCATCATTTTTTTCCCCCTAAGGTCCCTCTCCACACTCTAGCCCTAGCAAGTCTCCTCTAGAAAGTCCTGGTCTACTCTCCACAGTTAGCAGAGCAAAAGCAGAGGTAAGTTTTCAGAGTTTTTTCGGGCCCAGGTTCATTGTGAGAAAGCAAGGTGTACCTAGAATTACTGATGGCAACTTTCATCTTCCTCGGGGAACTGTCTCTATCAAGGATAGGAGTACCTTCAGCTTGTTGTCATCCTAAGGAAATGCAAACTCTGTTTGCTCTCCCTAACAGAATTGCCAAAGATTTAACAGAAGGTACTGGTGTATTTTGACCAAATCACCTTAATTGGAGAAGTAGTATAGTGTAAGACATAGATCAATAATGGGCCAGGGTTCTAATCCTAAATCTTACTGATTTGCTGTGGTTCCTCAGAAAGCAAATAAGCACATAATCACTTAATACCTCAGTTTTCTCACTATAAAAAATAGATAATATTATAATACCTTACGTGATATAATATGAGGATAAGCAAAATAACATCTGTAAAAAGCTTTGAGCTCCTGGAAAAGTCATTGTGAAAAATAAAAATAAAAAGAATGGTCTATTTAAATAAAAATGAAAGCACCAGTATTAATTGTTAATTCTTGGAAATTGGGGGAATGCCCAATCAGCTGGGAAATGGCTGAACAAATTGTGGTATATGAATGTAATGAATACTATTGTGCTATAAGAAATGATGAACAGAGAGACTTCAGAAAAACCTGGAAAGACTTATATGAACTGATGCTGAGTGAAATGAGCAGAACCAAGAGAACATTGTACACAGTAACAGCCACATTGTGCGATGACTAACTTTGATAGACTTAGCTCTTCTCAGTAATGCAAGGATCTAAGACAACTCTAAAAGTCTCATGATGGAAAATGCTATCCACAGCCAGAAAAAGAACCATGGAGTCTGAATGCAGATGGAAGCATACTATTTGCTCTCCTTTTCTTTTGTTGTTTTGTTTTATTTCTTCTTTCTAGTGGTTCCTCCTCTGAGTTCCAGTTCTTCTATACGTCATGATTAATGTGAAAATATGCTTAATACGAATGTATAAGTAGAGCCTATATTAGAGTACAGGCTGTCTTGTTCAAGGGGAAGGAGAGGGAGGGGGAGAAAATCTAAAAACTCAAAATCTTATGGAAGTGAATGTTGAAGACTAAAAATAAATTATTAAAAAATTTTTTTAAATAATTGTTAATTCTATTGACAATTGTGGTCTACATATCTCCACTATGCATAGCTATATGCCTTAAATCTTTAGAGTTATGTTAGATGACAACTGAGTTCCAGTTTGTACATCCTTTTATGCCAGTAGAGATTTAATGAGAAATTAAATCATTTAGAGGGAATGCAAAATGTGTTTGAGGCGCCTGAGTGCATTAAAATGCTTGAAAACTCAGTATATAAATTCTGCAGACAACCTACTTGCTGAGTCAATAAATTATGGAATTTAAGAAAGCTCTTCATAATGAATAAACAGTATGGGAGGGAGTTGAAAAAAAATTGCACCTCCAAGAAAGGAATCTTTAAAGGGACAGACAACTTTAAAGAAAACAACTCATCCTAAATAATTTCTGCTAATTTCTTCTTTGTAGGACGTCCAAATCCCCTTCTCTTCAGTTTTCAATAAAGAGAAATCTCCAGAGGAGCGTTTTTTCCCAGATATATTCCTCATCAAAGAAAAGCCAGAAATTGAAATTCCCGCTGACCAGAAGGTTTTAAACACTTCTGCAACACTGTCTCCTATCCGATCCCAGCCAGCAGCACTGCCAGAAGCCATCATGACCACTTCCCCAGTTATGTCTCCACCTGTGTCCCCTTCAGTGGCTTCTACTTCACCTTCCTCACCACTTCCCATCTGCTCTCAGCCCCAGCCTTCCTCTGAAACATCCATTCCATCCCCCACAGAGTCTCCTATATGTTTCCAACCTAGTCCAATAATAACATCCACTCCTCTGGTCTCCCTCACCCGTAAGGACCAAGATGATGCAGTGGAAAAGCCGCGCAGTCCGGTTGCTGCAGATGAATCCATAAAACGGAATGACCTCGTGGAGGAATTTTGGTTAAAGAGTGCTGAAATACGCAGGAGCCTTGGGCTCACCCCAGTGGATAGAAAAAAGGGTACTGAACCAAGTTTCACTTTGCCCAGCCTTGATTCTGTGTCCCTAAAATCATATCCAACCAAGAAGGTATCTCAAGATGAAGAAATCCATCTTTTAAAGCCTCAGCCTTCTCCTAGAAGGCCAGGCATACCAAAGTTAGATAGCGATCAGCCATCACTGCTGACTCCTAAATCACCATCTGAGAAAGAACTGAAAAGCTTGATCCATGAGGAGAGGAAAGACTTGTCCAGCAGCTCTGGCCTGGGTCTTCATGGGAGTTCCTCCAATATGAGGACCTTGGCCAGTCAGAGCTTTAATACCTCTGACTCAACCATGCTCACACCACCCTCAAGCCCTCCTCCTCCCCCGCCACCAGATGAGAAACCAGCAACTCTTCGAAGAAAGAAACAGGCTTCCTGGCAGAATGAAACTGAATCCAAGCCTTCACCTACTACTCCCCCTGTAGTCATTGTTCGGCCCCACCAAGAACCATCCCAGCCATCCAGGGAAGAGGTGCGGAAGTCATTTGTAGAAAGCGTTGATGAGATTCCATTTGCTGACGATGTGGAAGACACCTATGATGAGAAGACAGAAGACACGAGCTTCCAGGAAAAGTTCTTCACCCCACCCAGCTGCTGGCCCTCTTCAGAAAAACCTCTCTACCTACCCTTGGCCAAGGAAAATGGAAAGTTGCCCACTTTGGAAGGTGAGTCCCAAAAAGAAAAGAGGGGGCTGCCTGTGGTGTCTCCAGAAGCCAAGGAACTGGCCAAAGAGCGGATGAAGGCCAGAGAGAAATCTGTGAAGAGCCAGGCATTGCGAGATGCCATGGCCAAGCAGTTAAAAAAGATGAAAGAGATGGAGATGACAGCCGCCGCTTCAGCTGGAACCTCTAGGATCTTAAACAGGGCAGTTTCCTTGCCTTCCAAGACGAGAGAGCAACTGGTCTCAGAACCCCTAAAGCAGTCAGCTCTCAGAAGATCTGAGGTGCCCACCCTAAAGCATGAAGCAACCAGTGAGGAGTTCTTTTCCCCGCCGTCTGATTCAGGAGGCCCTGATGGTTCTGTCACATCCTCTGACGGTTCTAGTGGAAAAAGCAAGAAAAGATCTTCACTCTTCTCCCCCCGAAAAAACAAGAAAGAGAAGAAGTCCAAGAATGAAGGGCGGCCGCTAGAAAAGCTCAGTGGGAACGTCCTGGAGGAATCAGCTGCCAAGCCTAAGTCTTTATGGAAATCAGTATTCTCAGGGTACAAGAAGGACAAGAAGAAGAAAGTAGACAATAAATCCTGCCCCAGCACTCCATCCAGTGGTGCCACAGTGGACTCTGGGAAGCGTAAGATGTCTCCTATGGTCAGAACAGGTATGATAGAGACCTCCACAGGTCTTGTCATGACAGCCACTTGCATGTCTTTAAATTTCCCACTGCCCTTTATCTCTTTATTTGCAATGAATGAGACATAGAGGAAGGGAACCAATACGTTTAAAGTGAGTGAAAATATCATGGCTACTACAATAATTATAGGCATATTGTTTTTGTTTGGGGGGTTAACTGTATTCCTTGACAAATAATAATAGCCGGGGGCAGCTAGGTGGCACAGTGGATAGAGCACCAGCCCTGGATTCAGGAGGACCTGAGTTCAAATCCGGCCTCAGACACATAACACTTACTAGCTGTGTGACCCTGGGCAAGTCACTTAACTCCATTGCCTGGCCAAAAAAAAAAAAAGAGAGACAAATGATAATAGCCAAGTTATCAGAGTCCACAATATAGAGAGAGACACGCTAACGATGTATAGGACTTAAGTCACTTTTTAAACCTTGTATCTTCTTTTCTTAGAGCTGCAACTCCGTCGACACCTGAGTTTCTCAGAGGACTCTGATCTCTCCAGTGATGATGTCCTGGAGAGGTCCTCCCAAAAGTCCAAGCGAGAGGTAGGCACAAACAGATGAGTATTAATGGTGTCAGAAAGAAAAGAGGTTCCCAGAGTCCCTACTAAACTCACTTTTGATCATTGTTGGGGAGGAGAGGAATGTTTTGTAAGACACAGAAAAAAACCTAGGACCAGTTGTTGGGTTTCCCTTCAAGAAAGCCAGTTCCTTGTTGTTCTTGGATGAAGGAGCTGCTGGCTCTGCAGAAAGACACACTTGGATTGAGTCTAGTTAGGCAGTCTTGAAAAATAGGTCTTTTTTAAGTGCTTCTGATGAGCAGTTTGAGGTTATAAATTTTTATGATGAGTTTCTGGGTATTCAAATGTGAAAAAGATCCCATGCCAAGTTGGACAGTGCCAGCACTGAAGTTGGGGGCCCCTTTACTCCTGAAACAACTCATCCTTCTAAAGCCTGAACTGTAAGTGACTCTAAGAGAAAGGGGTGACTTAGGGGCAGACTGGCCTTTGACATGAGTTGAAAGATAATCAAGAGAAACAAAATTCATCCCTGGGAAGCTATACCTCAGCATTTCATCTGATCTCTAGCAAGGTTTCACCCAGCATCACCTGTAGCTATGATTCTTTTAACTTCTGGATGATATGATCTATCTAAGGACTCTTTCCCATGTAGGAGAAATTATAGTGGTTCTTCTTGGACCCGTCCCCAGACTTTATTTAGCCTGTGATCCCAAAAGTGTCTGGGCTTCCACTTGCATGGTAATTATAGAAACTAGAATAAGTTTGTCTTCTCTCTGTTCAAAAACTCTGTGGAAATCGCATGTGCAAATATCCGTTTTCATGGTGATAAAAGCACGCCACACACTTCTTGGGCTGAAGGGGCTGCCCTTAATATGGGATGACGTTCTGGGATGACAATGCAGAGGCATAAACAGTAAGTGTAAAGCCTTGAGGATAGGCATTTCTACACATTTTACATATCTGCCAGTGAGGGTGGATTTTTCAGTATTAAGGAATATCCAGTGGAATGATGAAAGTGGTTGACTCTGGAAGTTTGGCTTGGCTACACCATTTCTCCTGGGATCAGAAGATCCAGTTAGTCTTCTCTCCTGGGCTGTATCTCTGGAGTAATATATTTCCACCACCATCTTTCTTTGTACTATCTTTCGATCCTCAAGATCTTTTGCAGGCCAGACTGTATGTGGCAGTTAAAATGCAGGAGGAGGGAGCAGAGATCAACAAAAGGGAAAAGGTGGAAGAGGCCAACAAATCCAGAAAGAGCCTTCGCCCAGATACATTGACCCTAGCTCTGAACTCTGCCCCTGGACAAGGGCTGTGAGGCCCTCAGTAAGCATCCTACATTGTCCTCTGTCAGAAAAGTAGGGCTAAAGATGAGCGATTTCTATTATCTCTTCACTTCCTTTTCACATTGAACTGAAACATCTTTGCCAAAGTGGGAGGAAAAAACTACACACCATTCTCTCAAAAGTTTCCTAAGGCATTTGACTTGGGTTGTGCCTTCATCACAAACTCTCAGAGACAGACCAATCTGATAACTGTTTAGAGGAGTCAGGGAAAGGGAAAGGAGACTAGGTCTGATAGAAATGAGATTTAGGTCCATTCGTCATAGAGCACAGTTACAGTGTAGCAGGCACAAATTTTGTGCCTGAAACACCATTTGTAGTTCTGGCCATATCTCTTTAAGGAACATCCTAGATTGAACAAAAATGAGTCATTGAAATTGAATAACATTCTTATTTCACCTTTTTCCCAAGTCTTTACCAGCTCTGCATCTATCAAGAACAAATATGTCTTCTTCAGATCCAGCCCAATCATGTGCCCAGGACTGAGCCAACATAAAGCATAGGATGTAAGGAGTTCAGATAGATATTGACTCTGGACCTTTAGGCTCCCCAGTGTAGGAAATAGTAAATGTAATTTTATCAAGTATTCCCCATCTGGTTTCCCCAAGTCAGAGCACTGATGTGGAACTGTAATTACCTGTGGGACCTTATGAGAAACCCCTAGGTGAAGATGGTTGGAAGAACTGGTTCTCTACTCTGATCAGGCCACATCTAGAGTGTGGTGTTCCGTTTTGGATACCACATTTTAGGAAGGACTTTACTAATCTGGGAAAGCATCCAGGCAAATATCACCAGAATGGTGAAGGATCTTAAGTTTATGCTGTATAAGGAAAGTCTGAAGGAGCTGGATTTGTTTAGCCTGGAGAAGAAGGGGGCCAAGTATTTAAAGAACTATGACTCAGAGCAGGGAATAGACTTGTTTTGTTTGAACCCAGAAGAACAAGTAGTGACTGGTGGAAATCAAAAGGAGAAAATGTAGGCTTGAGGTAAGGAAAAAGGTCTTAACAATTAAAGCCTTCCCCGAATGTAATGGAATTTACCAATCAGTCAGTTAGCATTTAATAAACACTTAATTACAGACTTGATTTCATTGCAGTAGACCAAAATGAAACAGTTAATTAGCAGTGCCTTCATGGAGTTTATATCTGTTAGAAAGAAAGCATATGCATGTCTAAGTACAAAAAAAATGATCTCCTGGATTTATAAGTTCCCTTTAGTGAGGAAGAGCACAAACTATCCGTATCTGCCTAACCTGTGCGATTCTTTTCCATTTTCCATGTCCTCCCATAAGTTTTCTAGAAACCAGTATTCTAGAGGCCTTTCTTGCTTTTTTCTGACATCACAAGGGTCTGTCCTTTTACTGTCCTTTACACTTGACACATGACCAGCCTGTTTTTCCTTCCTACCTTTTATTTCCTCGATGGCATCACTTACTCCTGTATTTTGCTCTTTGGTTATGTGGTAGTTTTCTCAAGCCTCCCATGCATCTCTCCGTTACTTTCTGTGTAATGTTCATTCTTAATTCTTCAGAAACTGTTGTAGTCCACATCTTGCTTCCATACAGAAATACTGGGTTTGGGTTTTTTTTATTAGTTAAATAAATTGGTATTAAAATGATGGGCCATTGTTTTCCCTTGAGAGGCTCAAAAGAGCATTGCAGTTTCCCAAAGGTAATCTAGCCCACTCTTTCCTAATCAGTTCCTAGCCCAGTTAGTTTTCTGTCAATGCCATGTTCCAGATATATAGACTGATAGACAAGTTGACCATTGAGATGCACAGTTTAATCTGGGCAATGAGCATTCTTTATCCCCTTGGTCTTTCCGCTGTGGAGAGTCAGGTCAAATTCTTTTAAGTGGTCCCAAATCTCTTTCCAGAAGGCTTGCCATATTCCAGAACTTTATACAACCCACACAATTTAATCTGTAAACAGCAACATCTGGAGGACCTTGCCATCCACAGAGACTTCCTCTTCAACTTGGACTCTGCACTGTATCTCCTCCATAGCCACAGCAGACACCTTTGGCAAGCAAAATTCTTTGACTTGTATAATGTTTATGATCCCAAGGTTATTGAAATAGGGTTATTTCTGTTGTCATGTGTTAGGAAGCAGCTAAGTGACACAGTGGATGGAACACTGGACTTAGAAAGATCTGGGTTCAAAAGTGGCTTCAGACACTTGCTAGTTAGATGACCTGGGCAAATCACTTAATAGATATCTGCCCCAATTTCTTCAACTGTGAAATGGAGATGATAATAGTGCCTACCTCCCAGAGTAAGTGACATAATATTTGTAAAGTGCTTTTGCAAACCTTAAAGTACTATATAAGTTCTAGCTATCATTACTATCTTTTTTTTTAATCTTGAATTATTTTGATAGATGTATACCTTGTTGGAAAGAGTTTTTAAGATGGAATTTTGCTCTACCAAATCAAATGCTTTTTCATAGTTGTTTCAGTAGGGTGAGGCACTGGGAGCTAGGAGGCTCAGGCAAATCAGTGAACTTTCCTAGGCTTCAGTTTCCTTATCCATAAAGTGAGAGTGTTGTAAATGACACATAAGGCCCTTTCTAGCTCCAGTGAATCTATCTGCCATCAAGGATGGCCCTGGTTCAGGAAGAGTAATAATATGTCAGCATTTGTTGTTCTCTATTGCCCTTTTTTGTATTGATAAAGGCTGAGATTTTTTTCCATTTTTTTTATACTTCCATTCTTCAGATGACCTGTGCATATCATTACCTCACAGTTGTGAGATCTTGTCCCACAAAGATCTTCTCTATGAAAACTGATCTAATCCAGCTGCTTTTCCCATCTTTGTTCTCCTTAATGCCATTTTTGTCTTTTAGTCATTTTTCAGTGATGTCCAACTCTTCATGGCCCTATTTGTAATTTTCTCAGCAAAGATGCTGGAGTGGTTTGCCATTTCCCTCTCTAGCTCATTTTACAGATGAGAAAACTGAGGCAAACAGGGTTAAGTGACTTGTCCAGGGCCACGTAGCTAGTAAGTGTCTGAGGCCAGCTTTGAAATTAGGAACAGGGTCTTCCTGGCTCCAGGTCCAGTGCTCTATCCACTGTCCCACCTAGCTGACTAGTGCCATTTCTACCTCTTCTGTAAGTATATACAGGAATATAATATTCAGGTATAAGTGTAGTGATTCTACTGTCCTTGATGATAAGAATAGTTTGGTATAGTAATCTTTACAGATCTTTTCCCTTTGTCTTGTTGCACTTCTAGTTTCATCCTTAAGTGTCCTGGGATCACTTTGCTCATTTGGATATCTTGCCAGGCTTTCTTTAAACTGATTGTACCTGTCACTGCTTCTCTTTGCACTATTAAATGGTTCAACATTAGAAATAGATATGTTGTTATCAATCAGAATGATATTAAAGAATATGAATTATTTGCTTTGCCTGTGAGCCCTAAGGACTACTGAGCTTCTTCATCTTACTTGTAGCTAAAATTTTCTATATATGTTGTTTTTCCCTCTTGGGATATTCCTTGAAAACAGGTTATAACTGCTTTTCTATATGCTTAGCACAGTGATTTGCCTATAATAATGTGCAAATTAATCATTGCTTTTTCATGTAGGCATTATCTGCTTTATAAGATATTACTTATAATTGTACATCATTCTTCTTTGTAATTTTTACAAACAAATTTATACTCTAAACCAAAAGTGTCAAACACCACAACCCTCCTGGAATAAGGCCTGAACCAGATTAAAATGCAATTAGGAAACATTTAACAAGATTTTTTAAATACAGTAGAACAAACATTTTAAACATGCAGCCTGTGGGATCCTTATATACAGTTTAGTGGCCCTATTCTAAACTGTTGTCTTTGGCCACCATCTTCTTTACTTGGCAAGTAAGTCAAATGTTTGATAACTAAGGCGTTTTCTGTGCACTTTTTACATTTTGTGGTGGTTCTAGAGAGGTCTAAAATTATTATAATCAGTGACAATATCATTTATGTCATTCATTTCCCATTTTTTATTGCTAATTACTGAAGTAGTTCGAGATTGTGTTGTTTCAGTTCTACACCACATATTTTCTCATTACTGTTTTTTGTTTGTTTACTAATTCTGATTGTGATTGTAATTCTAATGTATTACTAATTCTGATCTTTGCCTTAGGAAATTGATGGTCTGACTGCACAAAAACAGCTAATTTAAGAATAACTCCTACATCAATAACAAATCTTTGTGTGTTGGAGTGAGCAGAGACTTGATGCAGAAAGACCAATTAGGAGGTTATTGTCCAAAAAGAGAGTTGATAGTCTAAACTCGACAGATAAAGGGTCTGTTGAGCAAAAATGGGGTGACCACTTATTATAAAAATACATTTGAGACTAGGTGTGCTAGGATGCCTCTTCCAGTTCTGAGATTCTGTTTGATGAGATGGCGTCCCTTTCAGGGAGGCCTTTGAAAAGTATCCTGTTGTACTCCAAAATTGTTTCTGTTTCACTATCAACCCTGCCTAAATTTAGTAATAGTCAAACCAAATGGCAGAGCTTCCATTTGTGATTGTGTGTGTTGTGGAATGATCTCTTTATTAACTGAAAGTCCTGCAAGAAAATTAGTCAGCTCTGGCAGATTGGTTGAGATGCTTTTGCCAAAGCCAGCAAACAACACTGGCCATTTCCTGAGGCATCACCAAGAGCCTGGCAAACATTAGGGGCAAAAGGGATTTCCTTTCTTCCTCATGACCCAGATGAACACAGGAACCACAGTCATAGAATGACTGAGGGATCATCTAGTATCTTAAGTCTCATAGTTTTGAAGCTAAAAAGAACCTAGATGTCCAACTTCCTCATTCTGAAATGAGGAAACAGACCCAGAGAGGTTAGGTAATTTGCCTGTGGTACCACTATTACTTATTGGTAACCCCAGGACAAGAACCAGGTCTCTACACTTCCAGGACTCTTTTTTGTTTGTTTGTTTGTTTGTTTAATATTTTGATTTTTTTCCCCAGTTACATATAAAAACATTTTTTAGCATTCATCTTTAAAACGTGGAGTTCCAGGGCAGCTAGGTGACACAGTGGATAGAGCTCTGACCTTGGAATCAAGAGGACCTGAGTTCAACAGCCTCAGACACTTGACACTTACTAGCTGTGTGACCCTGGGCAAATCACTTAACCCCAATTGCCTCACCACACAAAACAAACAAACAAAAAAAACCTTCCAAATTCTCTCCCTTCCTCTCTCCCCACTCTGCCTCATTGAGAAGGCAAGCAATTCCATATAGGTTACATGTATGTAGTCATGCAAAACGTATCCATAATAGTCATGTTGTGAGAGAAAACATAGATTAAAAAAGAGCTCAAGAAAAATAAAAATAAAGTTTAAAAAAGTATGCTTCAATTTGTATTGAGATAGCATCAGTTCTTTATCTGACTCTACGCTACACCAGATTGGTGCAATTTCTAAGAGTGGAAAATAGGACATTAAACTTAATGAAACGTTAACTACATCTCTGAATCAGGACTTTCCTTGTCTTTTCCTGATAGAGTTTTAAATATGATGTAATCAAGATACTTAACGCTATCTGATCACTGTGATCGTATAACTAAAAGCTGAATGCTGTTTCCAACACTACCTCCATTTTGCTATCAGGATTAGTAGGTGAAAGGGAGAGCAAGAAACCTTTAATCAGTACTGGGAGCAGCGAGGGCAGGAATAATAGAGGCAGTGTGGAAAGTATACTGGATTTGGAGTCCAAGGATTTAATTCAAGATATAGCTTGCCTCATTTCTACCCCTATGACCTTGGACAAGTCTCTGAACTTCTTTGTTACTTCTGCTTTACAATGAGATGACTAGACTAAATAATTTCTAAAGGCCTTTCCACCTTTAAATCCCATTATTCTAAGGTATAGTGATATGATTACTAACTGCCCTGTGGTCTGATATTTAAAATAAGTAAATGAATGACTAAACAAACAGATAGATAAATATATAAATGGATGGATGGATGGATGAGAGCCACTGGTATTCAAGTCATTTGATCACGGATTTAAAGCTACAAGGAATCTTAGAAGCCATCTAGTACAACTCCTGTCATTTTTCACATGAGGAACTGAGGCTCAGAGAATTTAAACTACTTGCCTGAAGTCACAGAGCTAGGATGTGAACCTAGGTACATTGACTCCAAATCCAGCATTTATTCCTCTGTGCATCCTTAGAATGCACAAGACTTAGATTTGAGTCTCAGTTCTTATAGTTGTACAACTCTGGGAAAATAATATCATTTCTCTAAACTATAAAATGAGCAGATTGATATTTGTACTACCTACCTCATAGGGTTGCTTTCGCAGAGGGTGACTTTTATATTCAGTGTCAAGATTCAAATACTCCAAAAACTGTAGCTTTTTTTGTTTGCCCCTGGCAAACTTGCCTTTGATTATGAGCCAATGAACACAATTACCTAAATGCAAAGGCATATACTAAAATGACTTAATAACAATGTCTACAAAATAGCCCCCCTCTCCTCCTAATAAACCTTGGGCACAAATACACAGAATGGGAAAAGTAGGCAAAAACTCAGGAGTACTATAGTGGAGGACACATGTAGGGAACACATGGCTAGGTCAACTCAAGTCTCTGGTACTGCAGGGCATCAATGTCCTTTCTCTTCTTGTGGTATCCTCATTCTACTTGCCTCTCATTGCAGCATCTCTGCAGGGTGGCTCATTCAGCTAGATTCCTGAGCTCTGTCCTCTTCATAATTCATCTCCCAACTGTCAGGGCTAATGCTCCCTTGAAGCCATGGTTGGCTCTCTTCTCTGCTGCCAAGCTTCACACTACTTGAAGCTTCTTCCTGTCTTGAATGCTGCCTGAATACATTTGTCTCTCTGAAGAGTGGTTTTCTGCTCTCTGCCTCTGTTTAACTCTGAACTGAACCCTGCTAAATGCTACTTCCTGCCTCAAATTCCAGTACTTTTTCAAGATTGGCAGGCTTCTTAAAGGCCTCCTTAGAGTGAACAATCTTTATTTAGCCAGTGGCTTCCCTTCCAATTCAAAGGACTTTTTCATACTTTGGAAACAAATGTCAGGATATAGATACTTCATATTAATATTTCTTTACCTCTCTTAATGACTTCTTACTTGATTACCTCCATTAGGTCCCAGGGGAAACTAAATACCCCTCAGGACATGAAGGAAATGCTTTATAAGCTTTAAAACACTATATGTGTGATGGTTATTATTGTCATTGTTGTTATTACATTAATAATGATTGACAATGAAAAGGATGTTAAATATGAATCAGCTTATATCAAATCTGAAATTCTCTTAACAGGTGAAACCTCTGACGAAAATTTTCAGGTTCCCTATCAGCACTCTACTCTACGTCCTCTGCATCCCTAGGACAGTAACCTTTGGGGTGCTGGAGGAAAGAAACTCTTGCCACATTCAGATGCTTTAGTGAATATTCTAAAGTATATCAGCTGTCATGTATTTAATGACTAATGTAGGTAACCTAACATACATGGATGTTGGGAAGAAGAGAAGTATTTTACATAGAGGTACTTTAAACAGAGTTTTCTGAAAAAAAGAGCTTTATCATGGTTGGGGTGGGGGAGAGCTAAGGTGAAAGGGAAAATCTTTTGGCAAAACTAGAGTTTATTGACATGCTACTGCCAGAGGCTTTGGAATAGGTTTTTGCATACTCTACCACACCAAGTTCATCATCCATGAAGTCTTGTGTAACATTTTAAAAAATTAATTTTAGTCCTGTGTATGTTTTAAGCATCTAACTGATTTTGCTCCATTTCTGTGTGTTCTTTTAAAATTAATTTATTTTTAATTATTGTTATTGTTACTGTTTTGTTTGTTTTCCGTATCCAATCTAAAGTCGATTTATGTACCACACGTCTTGGCATTCAAGAGGTCATATCCATCAAAGGTAGTATCTCCATTCCCATCGGCTGGCCATTGCATGCATCTTTGTTATTAACCAGCCCAGCCCACCATGCCTGACTTTACAACCACATCTTCACTAACCCTGACCATACATGCATGGAATTTTAGCCAAGAAAGGCAGCAGAATTTCCATTAGATGTGGTATTTAAAAAAAAAAAATCAGCCATTTGGCTGATTAAAATGCATGTGATTATTTAGCTCTAAGGCTCATAGAGGGAAACGTAGCTCTGCAAAAAACAAGTGGAGCTCTGGAAAGATATCAGCCATGACTGACAGCCTTCATCTCGGTGATTTTAAACTCCATTGTGAACTGACAAGACACAGGCTATTTCAGATGACTATGTAATTGATAGCATTATCTAAATGCTACCTAATTTCAATCCTGTAGAGAAGAGAGCATATAACTAATATTATAAATTCTGTTTCTTGAATTTAAAAATTCCTTCTTTTCTCTTTCCCTTGTGTTTTTGCTCTCTGAAATGTAAATATATATAAAATTCTAATTTCCAGGGTAGCAATTTGGGTCACTTTCCTTCTACACTTGAAGGGTTTATTCAAGCCGTCTTTGACTCCTGCTTAACCCTAATAACCTACATCTGTAGACCAACATCAGCATTTCCACCAGTGGAGTTGCTTTGGGATTAGGGAGTTGTCCTTTCCCCTCTCTCATCCCCTCTGATAGCCCTTTGGTGACCATACAGGATAAAGCAACTTCAGACTGGGGCCTCTGTGTAAACTCGAAACTTAACCTGAAACCACTCTAGTTCCTTCTTGAAACCATAATTGACTGCACTCTATGGAAAGTTTGAACTTGATTAATGTTTTCCCAAATTTAAAATAGAATAGGGGTTTTCTTGGCAGAGATACTAAAGTGGTTTGCCATTTCCTTCTCTAGCTCATTTTACAGATGAAGAATTGAGGCAAAACAGGGTTAAGTGACTTGTTCAGGGTCACACAACTAGCAAGTGTCTGAGACCAGATTTGAACTTGGAAAGATGAGTCTTCCTGACCCCAGGCCCTGTACTCTATTCACTGTGTCACCTACCTGCCTGCCCAGTACTACCCACCTCAAAAATGAGTCTCCCTAAAACAAACTTGAAAAGATTATTCATTTTGTGCAATTGGTTTTTGAAACCAGATAGTAAAGATGATAAATGAGAGGACGCATAGATAGAGAGCCAGTGTCAGAGTCAGGAAGACCTAAGTGAACAAATCCCATTTCTGACATATGCTGGCTGTGTGATATTGCAAATTACTTATCCTCTCACAGCCTTCAGGCAGCTCCCTAAGACTGTAAGTGGCAGAGCAGGTGCCAGTCGGCTCTTAGTAGGGGGAGTTTCGGGGGGCAGCTAGGTGGCTCCAGTCTTGAAGTCAGGAGGACCTGAGTTCAAATCCGGCCTCAGACCCTTGACACTTGACACTTTCTAGCTGTGTGACCCTGGGCAAGTCACTTAACCCCCATTGCCTCACCAAAAAAAAAAAGTAGGGGGAGTTTCCTTATGAGGTGTTCCCCTTGTAAATGAAATCACAGGTCTGATCCCAAAAAAAGTTAAGGATACAGATTTTTTTTTCATATCTTCTCTGTGTACTTCCTAGACAGGGTGTACTAGAAAAACATGCCAGATCTAGATACATGTACATATATACCCATACACATGTGTATGCATGCATATGTATGTGTGTATACGTGTACACATACATATATGCCTATGTATACATATCTGTGTGTGTGCATGTGTGTGTGTGGCTACATGTAAGGAATTCCTTAAGATGTGCAGACATATGCAAGTAGACTTCTCCTTTAGGAAAAGAGCTATCCCTTCAATTCGCCTGTGACCAATTCCCACTGAAAACACATGATCTATAAAACCTCAAGGGATGTGTAGCAACTAGAACAGGAGGAAAGTTTTATTGAGGAATCTGCGCCACACCTGCCTTCTGTCTGTACCAGAAAGCATCACTCCCTGCACCATGAACACCTCTGTGTAAAGATGATTGTTCATCTGTCAGTGTTCCAAGAAGGAAAAACTCTGTCCTTAGGGATGGGGTCTCCCCCTCCTCTCCTCAGCTGTCTGTCTGCCTTACCCATCATGGGCCTGCATTCACCTGGTAGAAAAACCTCTTCCTTTTCATTCCAGCCAAGGACCTATACTGAGGAGGAGCTAAACGCCAAACTGACCAGGCGAGTACAGAAGGCTGCTCGGAGACAAGCTAAGCAAGAAGAACTCAAGCGATTACATAGAGCCCAGGTAACATCCTCTAGCTTGAGAATGGCAGGCAGACCCAAGAAGGACGCATGCCTGTGGTCATCATTCTGTTCAGACATGCTTACTTATCTGTTATGCATGCTGTGAGATCTCCAGGGTGCGTGAAGGTCAAGATAAAGAGCAGGAGAGGGGCAACGTGGCATGGTGACCACAGGTCAGGGATACATGAATTCAAGTCCTCTGGCTCAAGCAGGCCGTGTGACCTGACCCAGTCATTTGACCTCTAAGTGTCCCAACCCCTCCATCTCTAAAATCATAAGTTGCAGAATGCTTGTTAATCTCTATTCATAGAAGGAATCTCCTCTCTGAGAGCTTCCCTATACCAGTAAAATCACATTTGAACTGGAAAAAAGAAAGTATATAAAACAGGAATAGCTACAGTCAGTCTCTGAGTTTTGTCTCCTGCGTTTTTAAAGATAATTTGAGAGATGATCCCACAGTACTGTTTGCATTCATCAGACAACCTTGGCTTTGTACAGTCACAGACATTCCAACTTTGTAGAGCTATTAATAAACAGAGAGTCAAGTATGAAGTTTCATAAAGTCCTAGGCTTGGCTGGATGATTGAAAAAAGCCAACAAGTTTTGTACCCTTGCCATACCCTTGGATTTTGATGTAAGTAAAGATGAGTTAGCTACCATCTAACCTATAAAAACCCAATCTTGCAAATTTCCTTCCCCGATTTTTATGGACAAAAAATGTTAATTTCCATTTTTAACTTACGTATCTCAAAGATATTAAGTAGCTAATGAAAACTGTAAAATATGAGTAATAATTTTTTTTGGTTTATATTTCTTGGGATTAAGACTTTCACCACTTAGTCTTCTCTCCTTCAAACTAAATAATCCTAATTCTTTTCATTGTTCCTCTTTGGTTAGTTTTTCTCCAACACCAAGTAATTTTTTTTCCCTCCTGAATCTCCTTCTAATTCTTATTTTTAGTGCTTGGGCCAAATGTGACCCATTCTAAACAAAACTAAGTAATTTGTTTGTACTATTATACTGTTTACACATTCTAGTAGCAATTCTGCAAAGCATTAGAAGATGGGATATTTAAGTCCCTAGAAAGAATGTAAATATAATGATGTTATGGATAGAAGAAATATGTTAATGGCATTTTTGCAGTACAACCTTGGTGATGGCAAACTCATGTAGAAGTGCTGTCCCTGTTAGCATCAGATCCTTTTCTATTTCTCTAGCTAGCTATTCCTCATTTCGTATTTTTGTAATTTGGTTCTCTCCGTCAATGCTAGGATATAGGAAACAAAGAGGGGTGCACACTAATCCTTTCTTGGCCTCTGGCAGATTATCCAACGACAGCTGGAGCAGGTGGAAGAGAAGCAGAGGCAGCTAGAGGAGAGAGGAGTCGCAGTAGAAAAGGCTCTCCGTGGTGAAGCAGGTACCATCTTAGTGTGGCCTGGTTGTTTTGGGGGGGGCGGTTTGAACAACATCTCTCCCTCCTTTCCCCGTAGTGTAAATCTCTGGTGGTGTTTTACAAAGGACCTAGCACCATTATGAAGAAAACGCCTCCTCTGGTGATAGGATAGCTCCCCCTTACCTGGAACTCAGTTCTATTTCCCAACAGAATTCACCAGTTCTCTTTATCCCCAAGTTTCTTATATTCTTGTTTGTTAAGGGAAGAGAAGTATCCTTTTCTTGGTCTGTTCCAACGTGTGGACCCATTCATTGGCCCCAGTATGAAGCTTCCCAGTCTCTGAGAAGTGAATGCTAACCCATTTCACCTACTAATGGGTGGGCACTGATCTTTAGCAGGATGTCTTACTCCTTCCTTGTCTCATGTTTTTGAAAAGGAAATAACATAAAATGAAGCTGACTTGTTTTCTCTAGTGTGCCGAGGGTCACAAGAGAAGGGAAACTACTACAAGGAACCATCACAGAACTGGCCTGAGCAGGCGCCTCACCAGCCATATTCCCAGTAGCCTTGCCCTCAAGCTGTGCCAAGAAAACTTGGGTACATTGCCCCCAGAGCTCCCACTACCCATTGCTATTAGAGTACAGAGTCTCTTCTTAGAACAAATTTAGTTTCCATTGCCAAACTCAGCCTTGACATTGACTAGAGAGAAAGTCTGTTGCCTCACATTTGCTCTGTATTTTCCTACCTAGCCAGCTCCACAGATCATTATAATTAGTCTGCAAAGTGATGTCTCGCTGGTTTGAAATCCTGGACCTAATGGCCAACCACAGGTGTCTGATATCAAGGGTTCTCATAAACCCAGAGAAGAAAGAGGATACCTAGAAGTGAACATGTGGTTGTATGATTTGTAGGTAGCAGAACCATAACCATGTCGGAGGGGCCAGAGAAGAGCCCCAAATTGAAAACCAAGAATATTCAGCGGGGTGGCTTCTGTTCCTAGAACCTGCATGAGCCTTTGGAGAGTAACCAGCAAGAGTTGGGCAAAGCAGCAGAATCACTGGGCTGCCATCTTGCTTGAGAATCAGAAGCTATTCCTGGGCAATTTCTTACATATTCTTTAAGTAATCAGCCTGACTGTCTGGGATTTGTCTGAGATAAGGGACTGGGTTGCTGTTTGTGACTGTGCTTAGCAGGGTGGCCCTACACAGTGGCAAACCTTCCTTTTTTAGGAAGCAGAAGGGACTAGGAATAGGCAGCTTCATACTCCAGATTGTGATCATTCACTGATGGTTCCCCCTCACTCTCTGAGGATATAAGGACATAGGAACCTAACCAGGTGTTTTCCAGTTCTGAGTTATTGGCTTTACCCCACGTGTAACTCAAGCTACCAATTAAGGCACAGAGCCTCTGAACCCTGGGCAATCTGCCACATAGCAACATTTAGAAAATCTCACAGCTAGACAAGTACTGTCCCCACCAGGAGGTTGAATGAAGATGCTGTTCATGCAGACTTTCCATAAGAAGCATTCAAGCTCCTCCTGTGAGCCAAGATGGTGCACTCATTGCCCTCTGCTTCAGCTTTACTAACTCATTCTTTCTTGGCCTCCTGGACAAAAACCTGCTTCTCTGTTCTGCAAGGGTGATGGGGCCAGCCCATCACAAATAACCTCCAGCAGACACTTGGCCACTTAACAGGCCATTTCCTCTGTGATGCTGCAATTTTTCCCCTCCCTCAACAGATGATGAAAGGAAACCCTGTACCTTTTTTCCACTCCTTACTTCTTCCTACAGATTCCTTCTACCAAGGTGAAAAGTGATTAGTGGATCTGACAGTGAACAATCAAAATGAATAACTTAAGAGTCAAGATTTATGTTTCATAGTTAATATATTCCTCTAGTTTGGGATATTCCTTTCCTTCTCAGTCAAAAAATCCTAAGGCTTCTTCTTAAACTATTTATATGTTACTTCCTTCTTTTAAAGTACCTGCTCTCTGCATTATAATTAGACTCATGCTCTGCTTTAAAAACCCCTTCAGCCTTTCAGTCTCTTTATATGTAATTCATGGCCCATCTAACAATCAAAGAAAATAGAAATTCCCTGAGTATTCTAATTGAAAATTTCCTGTATTATTCTTTCTAATAATGTATCCACTTTAATTTTCATAAACTTGTCAGCATTTACACCAGAGAGACAAAAATATGTTCTCTTTTTAAAGTCCCTCTTAAGTTTTCATATTTCTCTTGGAAAAAATGTCTCATAATCCATTAGCTACCACCACAAGAGTGAATTTTCAAATTCACTCTTATTCCAAATAATCAGTTTATTTTTTCCTTTTCTTATTTTAAACCCATCATTCCTAAGGCTGGACTCTTATTAAAATTCCCAAACTGTGCTCGTTGACTTCCTTTCCTGTTCCTCTATCTTTCATTCTCTTTTTTATCATTCTTGTTGCTCATTTGAGCTCTATCTAGTTTGTTTCTATCTTTCCTGCAGGAAGATGCCCTTAGCTGAGTATGATGATCCAGGGCATCAAAGAGTAAGACCTCATCTCCATCCTCTGAGGCATTATGCTAGGTCGAATATAGCACTATATTGTGTCATATCTAACACACTGTTGTTTCTCAAGACTGCCTGAGATCAGACTTTTTTTAATCTGATCTGCACTGCCAGAGAAAAGAACCAAGTAAGTATCCACTAACCTAACCAGCAGTAGAATATAAATAAGGTAAACCATTGTGCAATTCACTACATGTCTAAAGTTCTCTTGCATCTGGATCCCAGTGGAGTGTAGACCCAGGCAGACCAGTGGATATCTTAGGTCATCTTTTGTTACATCAGGGTGTTGGTCCTGCAGTACCAGTTTTCCTTGTCCAGGCCTGAAACCGCTGAGTTAACCTCGGATGTGGAACAAGTTGAACAGCACTCAGCTGCCTACATTCTGTTCTCTAATACTTATTTTCATCTCTACCCAGTGTTCAGGGGGAGACCTCTTACTCATGAGATAATAAAAATGGCAGAACCAAATTAGGAGATTGAGGTGGGGGGCGGGGGGAGATGAAAGTTTCAAGTTGGACAGTGTCATCATTTTGGTCTAACCATCTTCCGTTCTAATGCCGGAGGAACAACGTCAGCACCTAAGCTTCTCTAGAGTCTTCCTTTGACTCCTTTCTCCGTCCAGTTATTTCTTCTTGGATATATGAGAAACTGAAATCCATGACTGGACAACAGTTGTCAGATTGTGGTGATGAAAATGCCCAAGCATCATGGAAGAAGATATTTTGGGAAGCTTGACACCAGTTGCATCAGAGCAAACAGGATTTGGAGGCTGTGGTTGCATAGAGGAAACATATATCCCATTTCAGAATGAACAAAGAATCCAAGGAGGAGGCAAGGAGTTTCATAGATAATGGCCCTATTCCTAAACCAGAAATCATGATTTTGTCTCAAGATAAACAACAAGGTGTCCTTAGCTCCAGGTGTGTCTAGAAAAAAATAGGTTCCATGAAGAATTGAACCACCAGAGTGGTGTTGTGGGAATTCTTGACATTAGCAGTTTTCCTCTTATTAAACATAAGAGATTGGTGACCTTGCAGGTTTTTATAATGCCTCTTCCTTTGTCACTTCAGTATAGGACCTAGACTAGTCTTCATTATTCATTCACTTCTTCAATAAATAGTTATTGAGTACCTTCTGTATGCAGGGTACTGATCTTCTGATCTGTCCTTGCACTTTCTTAAGTCTCTCCTGGTTTGGGCATTTTGCGAAGGTTCCGTAGGCCAGAGCCCTGAAAGAAATGGTGTCCTGAACAAACTCTAGTAATATTGTCTTCCTAACAGAAGATCCATAGTGCAGAGAATTTGAGAAATCTTTCCCTAACACAACTTTCACAAGTTCTGAGTTGTCACAAGTAACTCTCCACTCTAGTTTCATGCCATCCAACATGTCTATATACCCTCTGTCTCTTTCATATATTGTCTTCCCTTCTCAAAATTTGCAAAATTTTCCCTTTTGTATTCTGAGATGCTACGTATTGCTCTGTCACAGACCTTAACATTTAAAACACATACACACACACATACACACACACACACACACACACACACACACACACAAAACAGTATTTTCTTCATGAAGTATTATAAACCAGAATCACATTGACAGCAGATCATGAACCACCATGGTAAGGACTTCTTGACTATCAATTCAGTGCCTTCCCTAGTTCTCCAATGTATGCTTTTGGAATGTATGTAAATAAACATATAAAGATTCACAATTCCTCTGTCTCTCCTGCTATGTGTATATGTATGTGTGTGTCTCTATCTTCATGTTGCTTTAACTTGGTTGGGGGGGGCGGGTCAGAAGGGTTGTCTGATCCAGTAACTCTCTCTTCACCAATTCCTTGTTATAGACTATTGGGGAGAGTCTTATTACAGTGACATCATCGACTTGCATCTGGGTGGTATGTATAGCAGCATTTCTTGTTGGCACTAACCCTGCTGACAGCCCTTCCCTGCCCTGTCTCCCCATCCCTTGCTCATAAACAAGAGGAAATAAGCCTTATAACCAAATGGCAAATGTACAGGCCCTTTTCCAGCTCAAATGAGCTCTACTCCAGGCACTTCTTAAGCCATAAGATACTCTAGGAAAGAATTTGAAGTGGTTTATTTTGTTCAGTTTTTCACACCAAAATCTCACATCCCCTAACCTAGTTCTACCACATATCAAAAGAAATGTTGTTTTTTGTTTTGTTTTGTTTTTCCTACTCCAAAGTGAAATCCCCTTTAATTTTAACCTCCTCCGTATCCTACAAGTTTCACCTTCCTTACTGTAGGTAAGCTCACTGTAGTTTTTTTTTTTGGACCCAATTTCTGAGATAACAGGCCCAAGCCTTTTTAGTTACAGTATCCTCACTCTTCCTAAGTGAAATTAGCACAAAGTTCCCAAAGTTGAATTTCCTCCCTTTGATTTCTGTGTATATTCACTGGCCTGAGAGAAAGCTCTGTTAAATACCAAAGTCACAGAGTTGTCCCTAAATGCTTCCAGTGTTTGTCTCTTAAGTGTTTAAGTATTTTTCATTTCTGTCTCTAAATCCCCACATTTTCATTAGCTCAGAAAATTGTGAGCCCAAGTTTTCTGTCTCTAGGTTTAATTAAGGGCTTGCCAGCAAGACATTCAAATGGCTGAATTTTTATTCCTCGATCTTCAGTTAGATCCTTATCATCCTCTTTTTAAAGACTTCATGCCCAAAGTTCAGCAAAGAATTTACAAGATAAAGACAGAGGATGATAAATTTACTCCCCATCTTTCTTACCTGAGCCCCATTCTTCCAAGAGCAGTCTGCTCTGATTTTTTCATTTTTAGAAAACATCATTCTGTGGTTGCTGTTACAGTATTGTGTGGTCCCCCCTCCTCTTCAATGAGCTGCTAGGGAATACCCAAACAGCCTAAAATAATCTACCTTAAAAAAATAAAAGTCATACACCTTTCTTGCTATCACTGATTGTTATTGTTTGGTGAATAGTGCCTTGCCTTTCTGGGAGCCCATCCTCCAGTTAAGAAATTTCATTCGATGAGGTCATCCCTGGCTGCCTTTGTGAGCACTACAGATCCTTTGCTACCTTGGAGGACATCAGTGTCCCTGTTTACTAGATGCTGTAAAAGGGCTGATGCTAAACTTCCAGTTAACATATCCCATTCCTCATCTAATATCCTCATTAGTCCTTCCTCCTTCTAACACTCCTGGGGGTGGGGGAGGGGTGGAGAAAACACTGCCCAAATCAAAACTGATATATGCAATCAAAGTGTTTTTAAAATCCCTGTAATATCTGTATGTTTAAAATAAAACTCCCAGCCAGTGTTACTGCTGCCACACAAAGTATGGTGCTTTTTGCCTTCTACATCATCCTAGATTTGGGAGATCACACTTAATAGGCCAGTCTCATAATCTGGTCTTAACCTAGTGCCTGTTGCATATAGGAATCTAAAAAGTTTCAGAGGCAACTAATAATAACAGGAAAGAACTTTACTCTTAAAATGTATTTCAAGCTTCATGGAAAACCATCATCTTCCAATCTGAATGAACCGTCTATAAAAGAACATTACCACTATATTTATATTTTATATGCCTTCACTTCTCTTGGTAAAAGACCCCACCCTCATCTCACATTCAGATTTTCTCCTTGCCTTTTGTGGTGTCTGTCAAACTTATAGAGGATATTGGACCATTCCATATCTATGAGGATATGCTGTGACCCCAACACAAGAACAGAAGAAATGAGCTTTAGATACCATTCTGTCTAAGACACCCTGTAAGGTGACTGTCTATATACCACTGACCTAGAAGAATCAGGTCAGTTTGCAATTCCTCAGGCATTTCAAGCTGGGAGTGTGCTGTATCTATTATTTGAAAAGTCCCTAGTCGGGTTGGTATCTGCCATAGTGCTAAGGCGCCTGATTCCTCCCTTTCTTCTTATGTTCTAACAGGGCTGTCGAAGCATCACTTGGTAATCAGTAGTCTGGATGTTCCTTTTCCTTCAGGTAGTAAAGTGAGACACTCAGCAGTCAGTGTTCGGGGCTGCTGAGTTTGTCTCCTAGGGAAGAATCGCTAAATCAGATTCCTAACCCTCAGTGCCGCATTGATCATCAAAATCAGTTCTAAAAGAAAGCCAATACTTTTAGAATTCATTTGAACTGTTATTCAAGCTTCCCTTTACTGAAACACTGAAAGTGATGACTGAAAGGAAACTATCCAAGAGTGCCAGCAATAACCCTGAAGACAGAAAGAATGGCCTGAGAACTGCCAAGCACACTACCTCTTCTACCCCACAGCGTAATCACTTATTTTCATTCAACAGCTAAGGGGATGTTCCCCCAGCCTTTGACATATAAACAAGCTCTCCCAAAGAAGACCTTCCTGTGGAACTTTAGATAAAAGGATCTGTCTCCTCAGGGTTGTAGCCCACACCTAGTCCCAGTTTCAAAGACCTCAGCTCCCTCTGATTGATCCACCCTAACAGGAAACTGGAAAGACAGAATTCATGTCGAAATGTTCTTAAAGGATTGGGAAGTAATTTCCTTTCATGATTCCTTGGTGTGAGTGCTGCTCTTCTTCCTCCTTTGAATGAGAGTATGTGCACATCCCTTTCTTCTGTTTCCTTTTCTCTTCTTGATGTTGTATTTTGACTTTCTAAGCGTTAACCAGATTCTAGTTAATTAGAAAACTAGAAATCCTAGAAGCTTCCCAGCTTACGTGCACACACACACACACACACACACACACATACACGCACAAGTTTTGCGCTCATTTTTTTCCACCTTTCCATTTCTTGTTCCAACCTGGAGATGGATTCTGCATTTCAGTCATGACGGAGGCATCTCTTGAGCCATCATTTGCATGTAGATTGAGCATGCCTCACCAGCTACCTTCCCCTAGACCCCCACATCTTATATCATGAAAACTTCCTCTTTCCACGCAAATTGGTTCTTTCACTCTGTGGTAGGCTAGCATTGGGTTTTTTTCTGTACTTTCTTCTAGGTGGTAGTATGATTTTCTCAGCCATACCCTGAAAGAGTCTAATTTGTGGTCAGGTACATGTGAAAGTAGATATTACTAGGGGCATGTTAGTTTGGGGAAACAGAAAAGTCTACATTAACCTTATGGATAAGTGCTAAAAATGTACCAACCAACCAAAAGAAAAAAAATTTTTGTCAGTGTAGTCTCTTTTTATTCCATATAACCTGCACAGCACAGAGAAAATAAATGGAAACTACATTCTTTCATATTATACCACCAGAGATTTTTCCCAGCCCTGGTCGTGTTGCTATCTACAGGTTTGTAGTTGATTGTGATAGGACCTGATTTCCAGTGACTTACAATGTAAATTTCTCTGAGTCTTCCCTTCCCCAAATGTAAAATTGACTTGTTTTTGGTTTGGTTTGGTTTGGTTTTTTAACTAAAACCTGTAATTTCAGGGGTGCAGGGAAGTCCCAGCAAGGAAGCTTCTTCTCCCAGTGTAAGTTTAGCTGCTCTAAATGAGTCTTGGGACACTGAACAGTTATGTGACTTGTGCAGTTACATGGCCATTGTCACTGAAGGAAGTATGATCTGCCAGCATTGATATAGCATGTTACAGAAGGAACAAAAAAACAGTTCAGGTATCAGAAGTAGTCTAAGTGCTTGGCTCCTTGTAGGGGCTTACTTTGAAGGACAGCATAATGCCTAATATGGGCCAGGTACTGCATTAAGCACTGGTTGTGAGGGAGAACCTTAAACTGTAGCTGAGAAAAGAAATGTGCCCCTTCTCTGGGGCATAGGGATAGTACTTTGAAATTAATCAGCTAGGTAAAGAGAGGTAGAAGCCAAAAGAAATGTCCCCTTCAAACTCAGCAACTTTCTGAAGGTATAGAGGAAGAAGTGATGGCACACTAGGTACCTTGAAGGGTATAGTCATAAAATAAACAGCTGTCCATCAGAAGAAAAGATATATAAACAATCCCCAACTTTAAAAAAGGGGGGGGAACCTTGTTTTCCAAAAATATGTTGTTTTATTTGGTTCTCAGCTGAACCAGACAAAAATCTATTTAACTTGTGTTTTTCCAGATGTAAGCATCAGTACACATAGTACTGTGGAACCTTCTCAATGTATCACCATGGTTCCGTGAGAAATGTGTTCAGTTACACCTTAGGATAGGAAGAACGTGTCTCCTTCTCCTCCAAGCTCGTGTGATGGCTTCCACCTCCACTTCCTGTTCATCACTCCCCCGCCACCATCACCCTTTCCTTACACAAATTGCCCTTGACTAGTCCTGGGGATGGGGAAAAGTATATGAGTTGGGTTCGAGAGTTTATGCTGATATGAACTTTCCCTTCCTCTACAATGTCACACTTCATTTCAGGACCAGCTCTTCAATTTCCATGTTTTAGTTATTAGACCCTAGAAACTATCTTGATTGTTTTCCTTTGCTCTAATACTTCTAACCAGTATTTCCCTATTGTGGGCTGTTGTGTAGAACAGATTCTTCTGAAAAGGTTCTCTCCTGCTCTTCAGTCCCTAAAACATGATCTTCTTTTTGAGATCTCCAAGGAATTTTTTCATGAGCAACAATAGGGAAATTGAGGAGATGAAAATAACAAGTATAAAGAAATAACCATTTCAAGAGGTTCTTAAAAGTTTCAGAAATTGTCCCTAGTTGTTCCTTGAGCTACAAATGGAGTTAGGCTCCTTTGTAGAGCAAGGTATAGATTATAAATTTCCTGTTTTTGTCAGACCAGTGAGCTAATGATGATTTTTACATTTTTAAATAAAGTTTGACTAGATCTAAAAATGTAAAAAAAAAAAACAAACCAAAAAACAAAAACCTCTTCTTAGCCAAAGAGCTGAGCAGCTATAGCTTACCAACCCCTGGTCTAGAACCACATCTTTGTCTTTATTTTTTTTGAACCTCAGCCAATCTTTCTAC